TTTTTCCATTTTTTCTTTTTCAAACTGAATTCTTTTGAACTATTCAATGATAAGGGTCATTAGAATGTGTTAAAACAAAGAGATGACCATATTCTTTCAGTCCATGTTTAAAAAGAATTCTTCTTCTTCTTCTTCTTCTTCTTCTTCTTCTTTTTGTTTTGTTTTATGCTCAAAGTAAACTATACAATGATCAATGATATTCATTAAAATGTTTCTATTGATTAAGATCATAAATGGTGGATACATATTAGATCATCATTGAAAACTTGAAAGCATTGGATGGTCGTTTCGTTTTAGTATAAAACTCTTTAGTAGAATTCGAACTTAGGACCTTCGATTTTGCATGTGATTACTTAATCTGTAAACTAATGAGCTATCATCAAATGGTGTTATTGTCTAACTTCAACTAATCTACGAAATTGAGTTTGAATCCTGCATATCGGATGGTGGATGGGAACTAAAGAAGAGTCAGACACCAGGATGAAACCACCGTCTAGTGGTTCCAGGTTTTCAATAGTGGTCTAGCATTCATTCATCTATCATGATCTCAGTTACAAACTAAACATTCTCCACTACTCTACACCGATATTTCTATTGTTATATATTAAGACAAACAAATTGATGTTTAGATATTTTAATTAATTCCTAATTCATTCTTATACATGCTGAAATCTATTTTCATTTCATAATGTTAGATAGTGAATTATTATACTGATAAGCAAAGATGAATAGTGGGTAGCATTGCAATTCAAGACGCGCGTTTCGTTCCATTGGGAACTCATCAGCCGGATGTACCTACATCTCAGAGTAGATGTTTACTCTGTGACTCGAACCCAGTACCTTTCGCTTCAAACGCCATCGTGTTATCCTCTTAGCTATTGATCCCTAATGGCCACCTGCTTATTCAATGTGGTGAAGTTTTAGATTCACTTGGTATTGTTTTCTTCAATCTTCCCACTGATGATTAGGACTGGAATTGATCAGTTTCTGGATTCCACTGCTAGTCACTATTCATCTTTGCTTAAAATACTTGTGATTTAAGGCAATATCAAGGCAATACGCACAGTATGAACATATGCAAATAAGTGACTGATCAATCGCAGCCCTAAACATCAACCGGAAGTTTCAAGTATGAAATGAATATTATACTTATAATTATCACTATTCACATTTGAGCTTGTTTATCAATGTAAATTGAATCGATGCAAAACAATAAGTGGCTTCAATAGAATGATTGCATTTCAGTAGGAATTTGATGGTGTATACGATTATTATAAAATGATTTTACGGCCCAGGGTCGGACTCTAGTTATATCGTATGAATGTTGTCAATATATATATTGCCAATCCTCGTATATTATTATCGACTTAACTGGCGTTGACGAATAATGGAACTAAATAAATTAAATATGAGAATAGATGTTTGAATATTTATATTTCATACAATTGTTGATCGGAGCAGACAATCGGAGGATCGCAGCAAATGAAGTGAAGAAGATAGAACGGAGCGAAGTTTCACCACTTCATCAATCGACTTGCCATCCTTACTTAGCACCCGTTTCCTAACAACTGCATTACTTACTCGATGGTCCCACGATATACGAGCAATATTTTGAAGACATCTATGATCGAATACTAGTAACCTACGGATATTCTCTACTCTTACCGGCCATGTTTCACTGTCATAAAGTAGGACGGAACGAACTGCTACACAGTAAACCCGTCCTTTGGTTGATAGACGGATATCTCGCCTACGCCACAAATGACGCAAGTTGGCAAAAGCTAGTCGACCCTTCTATATCCGTGGTGAGACTTCGTCATACACCAGACCACAAGGGCTTTCAAAATAAGTGAAGCGCTTAACTACTTCACTCCCTATCATTAGTTTAGGTGTTGATGCAACCCAATCATGAAGCAACATTTTGTATTTCGAGGGGAAGAATCGTATGCCGAACATGTTTGCATTCTTGCTTAGAGTGGTCAGAAAACTCTACATTTTGTCAGCGTCTTCACCAAATAAACCTATGTCATCTGCATATTCTAAATCAACAAGTGAATCTCTCGGTAAAAGTTCAACTCTTAGACATTTAGATTTGGAAAGTATCATCTCTAAAAGAATGTCAACGCTAAAGTTAAACAAGAATACAGAGATAATTCACTTTATTATAAAATTTTACCAAATATATTTACATAGAGAATAATTATGATTGTTTAATTTGCATAAAAATGTTTCTCTTCTTTTCTCGACCTTAAATTAATGAAGAGAATAATAAAATACAAAGATCTTTCATAGTTAAGGTCACCTTCAGGAGATGTGATATGAACTTAATGAATTCCTTTAAGTAAATACAATATGTTGTTATCATTCAGTTAGTTATAATTTCGATAGAAACTGAATGTTATTTCCAATGGTGTTTCTCTTTCTTTCTCACTCACTCACTCACTCACTCGCTTACTCGCTCCCTATCTCTTTCTTGCTCTCCCTCCCCCTCTCTCTCTCTCTTATATTTGTGTCAATTACTGTACTACTAGCTATTTGATCTTCTGTTGTTAATCCTAATTCTATTTGATGTAATTATCTATTGTATGTGATTATTGTTGAAGTTTTTAATGTACATTCAAATTATTATCATTTGTGGCATTGAGATTAGAATTTATGGACGATTTTTGAGTGACGTTAGAGTGATGTTGAGAGTCTCCACCCAACTGACGAAAACAAAATGAGGGTTATGAACCAGTGTGGAGAATTAGAATAAGGATTTACAGTTGATGGTTAATAGTTAGGAATTAGATTTGTGGTTTTCATCACAATCTGACATAAACTAAAATAGTAAAACTGTATTTAGCCAAATGGATGAGTTTACTTATACCTAATTGGTTCGTCCATAAATTATAGTTTTGCTCTTTTGCCCTATTATTAGGTTAGGTAATGATATCCCTAATTAGAGTACAGTGATTTATCGACCGAATCAATGACGTATAAAACTCGTACGAGCAGTGTGGAGTCTTTAATGATCTTTTATCCTGTATAGTACTGTCTGTTAGAGTCCAGAACGTCAAACTCAACCTCCATGATATGAATAATCTATTTCAAACATATTGAATTTACATACAAACCAAACAGACCACATCACACACATTCACACCATAGAATAGAAAATGCACATTTGTACAAGATCTTCAAAGTCTTCAACGACAAGGATTGGCAAATAAAACGTCATTAGAATTAAGATGTCAGTATTTCAAGTACCCAATTACTGATAAGTAACATTCATCACTGTAATATGTTTATGCTAAAGTTTTTACCATCTCAGCTTTCTTATAAACTTGATAATTTAGTTAAGTAGTATCTTGAAACATTCAAATAGTGTATCTTATTCCTGGGTTCGAATCTCGAGGGGTCGGGATCGTGGATGCGCACTGCTGAGGAGTCGCCTACTAAGACGAAACGTCCATCCAGTACTTCCAGGTTTTCCATGGTGGTCTAGTTTCAACTGACTCATGATTTCAACCAGTGAAATTACCTTTAGATTAGTTCTACTTCTCAATCTTTATTGAAAGGATAATTAACATAGAATCGTTATTATAAGTAATGATGTACTAACTCATGTCTATTCAAGATTTCTTCATATCTACTTAAATCAATGTAATGTTGCGATGGTCATTAGATTTACTTATATTCTAATTTATTTTAGTTAGTTAGTTACTTACTTAATTATTTACGTCTGTTATTCCGAATGGAGTATACGTCACCGACCAGAATTCTCTAACTCACTATATCCTGGACCTACCTTTCTAGTTCTATCCAATTGTTATTCATTCTTCTCATGTCTGTCTCCATGTGTTCTTTGGTCTTCCTTTTCTCCTTTGCCTTTGAAGATATCAGGTGATGGTTTGCCATGTGGCTCAGTTGGGTGGTTTCCTCAATATGTGTCCTATCCACTTTCAGCGCTTCTTTCTGATTTCTTCCTACGCTGAGATCTGATTTGTTTTCTCCCATAGTAGGTTGTTGCTAATACTGTCTGGCTAACGGATCCGAAGTATTTTGCGTAGACAAATGTTAATAAACACTTGTATGTTCTGGATGATGGCTTTCGTAGTTCTCTAGGTTTCCGCCCAATACAGTAGAACTGTGTTGACATTAGTATTGAAAATTCTGACTTTGGTGTTGATTGGCAGATAGTTGTTTTGAGTTCTATATGTTCTTCAATTATAGATATGCTGCTCTTGTTTTGCCGATCCGGGCAAATAATTAATAAGTATCCATGAACCTAGGTTTCTTGACAGTTGATAGTTGCCAGTATGGGTTATTTGCAAACTTAAGGGTGACTAATACTCTCCATGAGGTTCAGATTAGCATTATCCAGTATTACAGTTAAAGATATTGCATAGTTCATATTTGTACTTTATTATTTTTGTGACTGATATTTTACTGTGGTTTTACTAGATCATACATCACTTGGATATAGAATGTGTAGGCTAAGAGATGAGATATCAACATACAAGATACTTTATTTTGTACCTTATAAGTTAATTCATTTTGTTAAAAATGACGATAAATATGAGGACGACCCATAGATGAATTCGAGGAAACTCTAAAAAGCTCAGAAAGAACCATAGACTTTCCATCCAGTCATTTCGTGAAAGAATATTCCAGAATCTCAGCGTTTAGCTTCCCAATTGAACAAATGCTAATAAATCCCCTCCTGCATAAGGATTGGAGGACTATAATAGTGATTTCGTCCTTACTAAAGAAAAAAGCAATCTATAAATACCTAGCAGTTTTGTATCATACTTGAGACTGTTTGAAATAACATTCCTTTCACTTATCTTCTATCTTCTCATTTCTCGACTTCGAAGGGTTCTAGAGTTCGAGTACTCCAAGTGATATACGGTATATTTAGAATCTTACCTTCTAGATATAATAGTTAATATTAATCAATAATTCTTTTTTCAGTTCATTCATAATCATTATTTATATGATCTTGTTATTCATTATAGTAAATAGTCATCTCATGAATTCAGATCATTCTGAATCGTTACCACAACAACAAAGTACAATTATAAGTGATAATCCAAAAGTAAATGATTCAAATACAAAATTAAATGAATCCATGATTTATACAAGTTTTTGGCATCGATTATTTAGAAGATCAAAAAGTAAGTTAAATATTCAATTTCCATGTTTTGAATGATGATTAATAGTTACCAACCCCCAACCCCCGTCTTCCAGTTGAACAAGTTGTTGAAGCCTAATAGACCCTTCTGTAGAGAAATAGGCCAGATCAAAGCACAGCAAAACTATCGGGGTTAGAATAGCTGTTTTTTTAATCGATTGTATTTTGCTTCGTATAGAGCAACAACGTATATTCCATGTACCACTTTTGTGAATTTTTTGTCGTTCTTCGATTCAGGAGTAATTGTGCTGTGATTCTTTATCGGTTTCGTAATCAGTTTGTGGGTATCGGTCGAGTGAGTGATTAGCTTGATCTCTACCACTCGGGTTACTGCTCATTTTAGTTCCACTATCCAGGAGGCACGATCAGGACATGTGAATCGGGTTTTGCCTCCCATGGTTAATAATGAGGACTAGGATATTGGTTTTGTCTTATGACTAATTCAAACCTAATATTTGTCAACATTTATATGGGTTTATGTTATACTGTTTTGTTATATTTCATAGTCAACCATTTCAAAACTATCCATAATATGTAGTGCAGCAACAATTTGTACCTAAACCAATGGTTGTTGTGGTTTTCAGAATGGACATCAACTTCGTGACTCGGCTTTTACCATGAAGCGTCATAGTTCTTCTAAATGAAGATCTTCTAACTCCCAGGGCACAGGTTAAATGGTTTAAATTACTCTTTCTGGTTGGTGTATTTTTAGCTAGTTAGTTTTCGGCAGAATGGGGTCGCTATCCCCATGCCCAACCCTCCTCCTTTGTCCAGGTTTGAGACCGTAAGTGGCCCCAGGGGGCTCCAGGCGGGGTTCGATATATTCGACGCTACAAGCCATTTACAAGACATCTACTTAAACATCTAACTATTCAACTACATATAGAGAGAAAATTAAGACTGCTTAGCAGACTGTATTCTAGAAACCTGAATGACAGTATTGACAACTGTCACGTGTCCACATAAGTCTGACCGTTTACTGGGGCCCTTTATTTTGTCGTCATTTAGATCGGACAATGTTTGTTGACGGGCTCTCCACATTAGTGGTACGAGATCTGACTCCATGTAGATCGTATGAATGTTTGTTATCGCCTATCCTCGTATATAATCATCGACTTAAATCGCGTTATTCTATAAAGCAATCAAATAAGTTAAATGATGAGAATGGACTTTTGAATACATATATTTTGTATATGAAGCGAATGGAATAGAAAGAAGCGAAACAACGCGCAGTGGAGAAACCTCATGAGCCAACTCCATCTAATCAAGCGTTAATCAATATTTATAGTTACACAAAATTAAGCTACAGACATGTAATGAATGGGATAAGAAGTGTACACACATACGCTTACATAAGAACAATTATGGTTGATAAGTGAATAATTAATAAGATCAAAATGTAACCCAAGTGGAATGAACAGGTTGGCTTGTCCGGAAGCTAGAATAAATGATATGCGTTTAACATAATAACCGACACTACAACCGGTAACTTAGGTCACATGAAGAATTCAAGAACTTACAAGGGCGAAACTCTTACTTATGGACGAGCCTATCACAAGTGATTGTGGCATTTCAAGGTCAACTTCAGTATTTAATGTTAATGTACGATCGCTTCACAGGTAATTTCGTACAAAACGTGATAATTGAGCGGCTATAACAAGTAAAACGGCGAGACTATAATATGTGGACGAATCAATCAGGTATAAGATAATAGATGTTAGATTTTCCACGAAAGTCGTTTATCCATTCGGTTAAATAGAGTTTTGACATTATAGCGGATGTCAGTTCGTGATAAAAACCCTAAATATGATTCCCGACTAAGGCAAATCATGACAATTATCGCGAACTGGATAATAAAAGCACCGGTAACACAGGCTGCAGCCAGGTACTGCAATATGTGAGGATGATTAGAGAGCGTACATACTCCTCCATAGGCTTGGTTATTTGCATCGTGTCGTTATCCACGTGTAGCATTTTGTGTACTCAACAACTGGAGTGCACACAAACAATATTGAAGCTAATGTGGTCGAGGGTGAAAGAGTTTTCGAAACTTTATCATGACTCCAGAGGCCGATTATTCTGTAGTCATATGGATGATTTCGTCTACTGCATGCATTAGGATTTTAGAACCTCTGAATCTCTTTCTAACCTTGACAAGTTTTTGAACTACGTATAATCAGTGTATCCACTTTATTTCTTTGGTTTTGTATAATATATTTTAACTCTATACCGACTGTTTGCTGATTGGCTAATATTTCTCAGGGTCACTTAAGATTCGTTCAAAGGTCGTTCATAAGTTAAAGTCTCGCTCTTACAAAAGATCAAGCACGCTTAAATATCTCATCGTGTAGAGATGAGATAGTATATAATCTCTTGGCCTTGAATAGTCATGTTTATTGACTACTTATGTAGTGAACGAGAACACAAGGGAGGACAACCGAATATACAGAATTCTTCTAGTAAAATCTAACAACCATACAGTAAATACTTCATTTGCAAAATGGTAATCAATCATCTCAGACTTCATTGTTTCTTTGTTTCCACACCAAACATTCTCTGTTCTCATACTCTTCTCTTGAATCGTCTTCACCTCCTGTCACCAAACATTTCACTTTCGATTGATGATACATATACTACTTATATCTAAAGACATCAGTAGTACACATGACATACTTTTTCTATTGAATAGTCATATATTCATAAAATAAAATCTATTTCCTTTTCTTCTTAGGTTTAGACAGTGAATCATCACATGTCAACTCACCTATTATAAATGAACAACAGAATAAATTAAATATACAATCAGATCATTTACAAAATCATATTACATATCAACATACTACTAATAAACTACTTACAAATGATGAAACAAGCCTACCTAGACCAGTTTCCATAGAATATAATAATGATAATACTACTACTACTACTGATAATAATAATAGTAGTATGAAAAATTACAAAAAAGTATTTGAACGTAAACATTTTACTGAATATGGACATCATCAATTTCAAATTACTTCGTTATCTAGTAGAAAACAACGTTTATTACGAAATCATCCATCTTATCAGCATAATACAACACCAATGAATAATATGCATCAATCTATCAATGAAATACAATACACTACTACTAATACTACTGATTCAGTGAATATAAGTAGTCAAAAAAATTCCGATAAAATAAATTTCAATCCATGTAATTTATTAAAAAGTGAATCAAAAAGTCAAAATTATTTAGATTTAGATCAATCTCCAAAAATGCGTTATGTACGTAAATTGAATACATTTGCTAGTGTACCAGATTTAACTAAAAAACCAATACGTAGTGCACTAAAAGGAAGTCGTAATAGCAGGTAAATTACAATGGATGATGATGATAATATGGTTTATAATAAATTATTGAGTTCGACTATCATTTATGAATGAATCAATCAAGTGTATATAAGATAATAGGTCTCGAATTTTGGCGCGAAATTCATTCATTCATTTGATTCAATGAAGTTTTGACATTAGAGTTCATGTCGATTCATGATGAAAATCCTCAATGTTATTGCTAACCTTGATCATCAACAGGTTTATAATCTTGATTTGGTCCTAGTTGTTGAGTGGACACTTTCAACATTAGTCTAGTGTCACACAACAGTCATCAATAAATTGTAGTCTCATCAATTTTTGTTTTGTTTAGTAGTATTTGAACAAAATGTTTTCAGATGAATGATGAGTGGATCTATAGCAGTTTACTAACAGGTAACTAGAAGATTATAATAGATTTATAGACAATAGTCAGTTAACTACAACGTAGGTTCAATTTGCCGTACCACGTTATCACAACAAGATGATCACCAAATTCATAGAAGTAGTTCATTCAGTGGTACTTTGGTGGCCCTTTATGTGACTGCAATGGATCGCATGAATGTTATTGAGAGATGAATATCGTCAATCCACGTATGTTATTATCGACCTACCTCGCGTTGGTGAATAACGGAATATGAGAATGGATGTTTGAATAAGTATATTTCATACAACTGTTGATCGGAACACACAACGAGAGAATCGCAGCTAATTAAACGAAGGAGAGAAAGCGGAGCGAGACGAAACGAAGCGAAAGGAAAGGATGCGCAGTGGAGAAGGCGTGTGAGCCAACACGATTTAATTAAGGGTAAATCTATATTTATAGTCACACCAAAATAAGTTACAGATATGTGATGAATAGGATAAGAAGGGTACATACATATACGCTCACAAAAGAACAGTTAAAGTTGATTAGTGAATAATTACCAAGTTCAAAGCCTAACTCAATAAGAGTTGATGAATTGGCCATTCGGAAAGCTAGAAAAAGCTATATTATTATTATTTTTTTTATTATTATTAATGGCTTTATTCAATATTATATGTGGGCTTATATATATATATATATATATATATATATATATATATATATATATATATATATATATATATATATATATATATATATATATGGGCTTAACATATTAACCGAACGTACAGTTGTATTATTTAAAAGAAAGTTTGAATATAAGGATATAGTACAGGAAGAAAGAATTAGTTCTCACGGTTTAAGGAAACACAAAGAGTGCATACACCTATGACATTGTGATCGATTCTGTGCCACGTCACCCAGAGTCTCAAACCACTCGTTACGATAGTTTCATGGATCCCAACCAAGTAGTCCGTATCTACCAATATGGAAATATGATTACAGATGAACCAGCGAGAGTTTAACAAAATATCAATAAGTAATGATGTTGATTGACTTGAATTTAGAATTAATCACATCATGTTTACCATTGTGAAGTCTATTTACAACTGCATTTCACCTTTATTTGCTTTTTTTGAAGTATATATTATACTACTTAATAAAATAGTAAGTAGTTTGAGTATATCAGGTGATTATCGTGTGCTCCGTTCTATCAATTTCAATGTCTTACTTCAATCTCGAATGTGTAATAGTACCTCTTTTACACAAACAGCTAATTGAAAGTTTGTTAAATCTTGAATAATATGACTAATCTTGAAAGGTGACATCAATTTTTTTCATTACTTAGGTAGGATTTTTCAGATAAGATTTCTCAGTCTAATGGTTGGTTTCATGAAGGATTGAATTTTGCTAGACAATTACTGTAGCTCTAGATATAGTAAAAAAGTGGAGAAGATTTATAGCTCAAGTGGATGATTGTTATTCACAAACATAGAAGCAATAATCAACCCAACGAGAGATACAACCAAAACAAAGAAGTAAACAGTAACATGTTTGAGATTAACAAGAATCAATTAACATCGAAGTGTACAGAACAAGCTGTGAACCACATATGGAGAAATTCGAAAACTTCACTTCTACCTGAAGTGTGTACTGATGATGTCATTCTGAAGAATGATAAAAGCTCCACAACTAAGCCATCCAGCTCATAGAAGAAAACTCTATCAGAATATATTAAAAAGTTTCTGGCTTTGTTTCACTATCCTCATTGCTACACTGTGACAACCATAAAATGGATTGATCACATGACTACTTATCATTGATTTAATAAATCATAACCAGTAGATTTAGTTTTTTGAGGCGCACATAGATTGTTTAATCATATTGTATTCTGTTCCTTAACTATTATAACCACTTAGACATTGATACATAATGCTATCAATGAATAGTTGAAAATGTTTTCTCACTTCCGGGTGTACTATGATAATTAGATCAGTCACGTTATATGAGACTTAGGATTCATGACCCAGAATAGAGAACCGGAATAACACTAGATAGTAAATTGTTTTATAAAAACTGTGCTATGTTTTATGCCTTTGAATTCCTAGTATAGGTATAGTTATGACTGGACTTAACACTAGGCAGACCCACGTCGGTCATTTCTTTTATTTCAGAAATAGTGTCCGCAGAAATTTCGTTGAATTCTGCCGGTTTAGTATTCCTTTCATAGATCCCTATCATGAACACATCACTTAACGTTGGGGCAAAGATCCGTCCTAATATAGGTCATAAATGTTGACTAGAGCTCCTTGAAATAGAAAGGTCATATATATTAATATACAAATCTAAAGTAATAAAATCAGAAGTACACGACCAAAGTTCAACATATCTTAGCAGATTGGTTTTCAATCCGAGGTGGTAGTAAACCCTACTTCCGATGAACTTTGGTTGGACACTTGTGCATGTCATCAGGACACTTCTGATGCTGCTCGGTAAATCCGGAACAAGAAATCGAAAACCATTTCGAATCCGATCAGTATCTCTGATGCTCAGAGAGGTTGTTGTAATTAAATTCATCAGTATATCGTTGATCTGCTCTTTACGATTTACAAACATCTGAAAGCACAAATTAATGTCGTGACATCCTATAAGAAATATATTAACGTATTCACTTCATATACATACCATTATTATCTAGAAGCCTTTCATTGCTGTAGCTAGTGGATGGTGTTACAGTTGAAGGAATGTCATTACAATTAATTTCTCCGTAGACTGCTATCAATTCAAGATAAAGTCAGTTACCTTTGATCATGCTTTCATTATCAAACTGAATAAAAGAAAGCAAGTTATGTTTTTTTTACCGTCACTTATAAGTCGATCTATTACAGCCAAGGACGCTTGACAAGTTGAAATTTGCCCTACGTCTACGAGCTCTCTCAGTGACATTAATTGAACTTATTGTAGAGGACTAGCAAGGTAATTAGTTATAATGAACATGAAAAACACAAAGCACGTCATTCACTTGTATGACGTAAGTTATTTTTGATGGCCACCAAGCATGTCGGAATACTTTAGCCAGACAAAAAACAAAGTGTATATGCACCTCAGGCGAATCCCTATGTCCGTATTTTATTGACGATAATAGTTTTGGTTTTTTCTATTAAACAGTGTGTTATTTTGTCGACGTTTATAAAAACATAAGTACGGGATGCGGCATATTCAAAGACCGTACGTTGACAAGTTTCCTCCAAATACACGACGTAAGGGGGGAACAATCGACATTTCCCCTAAATAACCGACGTGAAGGCAAAAAAGCGATATTTCCCCATTATTGGTTGCTTGGGTAGGACAGAGTGGGTTGGAGAATACTTGTCGGTGGCCTATGTTCCATTGGGAGTAACAGGTGAAATAAGTATCAGTCTTCAATATTATATTTTCGGTGAAATCTAGAATTCTCAGTACCAAGTATTTCAACAAGTGATCTTTTTTTCATTATTTCATCTATCCTAACGGTGAATATTGAGTGATTACCAGTTAGATGTTAACACTTCAGGAATCGATATCTGAATCGTGTTCATTCTTTTCAATGTATATTGACATTCATTACAATGTCTATGATTGTACTTTTTTGTAAGTTCTACGGTGAAAAATCGTAAACTTTTCATAAACGCGTCTGAATAGTTTAATACGATTCACAGACATCATAATATGTTAAAACAAACAAAGGACCAGTAACTTATTGAGACATTGTAGAAGTCGGTATTCAGTAATATAATTCTTAAACTTCGTATACAGATCATCCTGATAACCATTACGCGATAACGCCCCAATGGTGTATTAATCATCAGAAGGCGAATAAGAAATGTTGATTATGTTTATTATTGCATCACGCACAAATAACCAAATTTACAAGTATGTTAAAGAAAGAATAGTGCCGAAAAGCAGGCAGGCAAGCGAATGAGTCGAATGAGCGAGTCGATGAGTTAATGAACAGGATTAAAATGTACATATAATACATATATATATATATATATATATATATATATATATATATATATATATATATATATATATATATATATATATATGAATCAATTAAGCGACTAATAATAATAAAGCTAGCACAATGAATATATAAGTAGAAAATAAGCAAAGCAACCTCAACGCCAAAGGAAAAGGGGAAGACCAAAGAACACATTACTCCGGGAAATGGAGATAGACATGAGAAAAATGAACAAGAATTGGATGGAACTAGAAAAGAAGGCCAAGGACAGAGTGGGTTGGAGAATACTCGTCGGCGGCCTATGCTCCATTGTTAATAACAGGCATAAGTGAGTAAGTAAATAAGTAAGCAAAGCAATGCTCAAGCATACATATTCATACAAAATTGTTACAATAATAAAGGTATAATCATATAAGATAAGTTGTTATTGTACGAATGACTTTATGTGTTAAATAAGTTAACAAAAGGACTTAATCAAATTAACTATGAACAAACTCAATTACCCATGATCTGGTATAATATGTTGATGTCAGGAATAGGGTAGCTCAGAGATATTAAAAATAGGTCACTTCAGTTGAAGTTTTTTCTACAAAACAAACCACATATTTTGCTTTAGACATTAACACTGTTGGATTCCAGCTCAGTAGTCTAGTTGGTTAAGCGCCTGGTGCAAGACTGATAGGTCTTGGGTTCGAAGCTCATTGGGTGCGATATCGTGGATGCGCACTGCTGAGGAGTCCCATGCTAGGACGAAACGGCCGTCCAATGTTTGCGAGTTCTCCATGGTGGTCTAGCTTCAAATGATTCAATCAATAATGTAACAATCTCCATAACGCCTAAAATCCTATTTTTTTAAAATTTTGTTTCAATGTTTTCTTCTTTCACTTTGTTCTCATTTAGTGTACATCGATCAATACATGAACATGAACATGAAGATGAACATGTTACTATGTCACCAAATCCTTTAAATTCTGATTCATTTTCATTAACACCACCAACACCAAATGAAATGAGATATTTATTCAATGATCAATTAAATGATTTATCCAATACAATCATGAATATGAAACCAATGATTAAAACAAATTCGAAAACATTCAATGATTCAAATGAGTTACCAAGTCAATTAGATTTATCTAATAAAAATAATCTTCACATTGAATATAGTGAATATTCACCTGAATTAAAACAATTCAATAAGAATTATTATGAATCATTTCAAGAAGATAAAGAAGAAGAAGAAGAAGATCATGAAGATGACATGAAGAATTCAAAGAAAATGAATATGACATATGATAATGAAACGAATGATGATGATGATGATGATGATGATATAATTGAGAATAACAATATGATAGAAGATGATAATGAAGAGAATGTTGATTCAAATGCATTAACTCCACGATTTCATTCAAAAGTAAGCGATTTTCTTTTTCTTTCACTATTTTGACAATATCTAAGTGATTTAGGTTCACTTGATTCTATTTTTCTAGTTAGTGTTTGTTTTTTAGGAGAGACTCTAATTTATAGACGAGCCAATCAGAGGCGTTTTAGAGATTTCAAGGTTACGGTGCCAACTTCAGTGCTTAATGCTAACGTACAAACGGTTCACAGGGAATTTTGTACAAAACGTAATAATTGAGCGGCTATAACAAATAAAACAGTGAGATTATAATATGTGGATAATAGATGTTGGATTTTCCACGAAAGTCGTTCATTCATTTGGTTAAATAGAGTTTCGGCATTATACCTGATGTCAGTTCATGATGAAAACACCATATATAGTTCATAACTAGGATGAATTATGACAATTATTGTGAACTGGATAATAAAAGCACTCGTAACACTGGCTGCAGGCAGGTACTACAATATATACGTATGTTTGGAGAGCGTACAGACTGCCATATAGGCTTGATTATGTGCATCGTGTCGTTATCCACAAGTGACATTTTCTGCACTCAACAACCGGAGTGCACATAAACAATATTGAAGCGATGTGGTCGAGGCTGAAAGAGTTTTCGAGACTTCACCATGGCTCTAGAGGCCGACTATTCTATGGCCGTATGGATGATTTCCACTACTACATACATTACGATTTTAGAACCTCTGAATCTCTTTCTAACCTTGACAAGTTTTTGAACTACGTATAATCAGTGTATCCACTTTATTTCTTTGGTTTTGTATAACATATTTTTACTCTAAACTGACTGTTTGCTGATTGGCTAATATTTCTCAGGGTCGCTTAAGATTCGTTCAAAGGTCGTCCATAAATTAGAGTGTCGCCGTTTTTTTTCTAGTGAGTTTTCTATGAGATGGGATCACTAACCTCAAGCCCAACCTTCTTCCTTTATACGGGCATTGAACCGGCAGTAGAGCCAGAGGTACTCCAGATGGAGTTGTTTGATTCTACTTCTATATGAGATAGATAGTTGTATTAGTTAGCTCCTGCTATTCCAAGTGTTTATGGTCGTAATTTCAAGTTATCTCTTTCTATTACTCTATATACATGTCAAACTGAAGGATTCTAGTTGTTTGATTAAGGATCATCAAAGGTATCTTTACAAACAGCATAGATTGAGTAAATTAACTTAGGAACAAGTAATTCGTCAACTTTGATTTTATTAATGTGAAAAAATAGGACTATACAAGAAACTACTGAAAATATTTGGCTGAGGTATCATGGAATTAAAGTAGTTATTTTCTATTCATTCATACTAAACACTGTTTTAACAATTGCTATGATTCGGTTATTTGATTATAAGACTGGCAAAAAAGAAACAAAATGTTTTAAGCTACTCATTAGTAGTCAAATAGGAAGTTACTAAAATATCCACTAAACTCTACATATTTGAATTACCATCACTAATACTGTACTTATTCATCCGGATATAAACGAACTGAGCTGTTTGGTGTCTAACTAGTTTAAATTCTATGATCTTGATTAGCTTGTGTTGTGTATTTATGGACTGATCACCGGATAAGTAATACTGAGGTTAGATGCAAGATATTAGGGAATGATTGTAAATCAGTTGAAGAGATTATGAATCTTCATCGACTGAGATGGTTGGGTCACGTGTTAATTATGCCTGAACACTAATTACCACAACATGCAATGCAAAATAGTGTTGGGGATTGTTGGAAGAAATTTAAGGGCGGTGAAACTGACCAAAACGTGACATCAGTCTAGAAAGTCACCAACAATTAGTCTTAGCCATGTTGGTGGATGCAGACTATTTGGTTGAAGTCCGCATGAATATCGTAATGAATAGTTGGAGACTCTTGGTGAGATGGCTCAGAATCGATCACAATGTTGTCGGTGTATACACTCTCTGTCTTCTCTTAAACTGTGAGATTAAAATTGCTTTATACTTTTTTTTATGATTCTTTCTTCTTGTACTGTATTCTTATGTGAAATCTTTCTTTTATGTATTACTACAATTGTATTAACTACATCTATGAATTCGCTGTTCATCTTGTTGTGCTAATGAGGTATGTCAACTTGGACCGATGCATAAATATGCCAAGTCCTATGGTGTAACTGACTGACCAACTGACGGAAGAATTGATTATAGAAAGATAAGCCATTCCATATTTTGTAGAAGCCTAACAAGTTCACACCTAGAAGTGTCTAGACAATGTGCATTCCGATTACAATTAAATACGTTCAACTTTACATTTAGAATCTTTTGTAAAAAAACATCAATTCGGCTTTTCATACAGAATTCGATTCCATTTTCAAATTCCACAAAAATGTTGTTGAAAAATTTCTTTTAATAGTTGAATTCATGAATCGATTGAAGCTAGACCATCTTGGAGTCCCATACCAGGAGGAAACGACCCTCCCGTGCTTCCAGGTTTTCACAGGTGATCTAACTTTAGTTGACTCATGAATTTATCTATTAGAATTACTACTGTCTTCATAAAACCCTTTTCTGAAAAGTTTCTATTTTAATTCATTAGAACTAAAATATGCGTCTTTGTTTTGTAATGTCATCACAGCTCTTGAGACGCGATAGTATGGAATGTTACCTTGAGACAAACAAAAAACATGATGTATGTCATGAAAGGGATCATCCTCTTTCCGATCTTATTGAAGATGTGATAAACGGAAAACATTCTTTTGGTGATTCAACGAATAAAACGACTGATTTGGTAGAGGAGGAAGAAGAAGAAAATACGAATGATGATGATGATGATGACGATGACTGTGAAACCGATGAAAATAGTGGCGATTCCTTGTCCAATTCAATAAAAGATGAGTACTCACCCAAACCTTTGATAACTGAAGTACTTTCACCGTCCTTATGTGCCAGTGGTTATGGTCCAGTTGGGCACTTGTTAACAAGATGGTTACCTCAAAGACATTTCTGTGAATTATTAATTGGAAGCAATGAAAGTCCAGGTAAGATAAACAACATTGATACTATCTATTTGTTTTTCAGATTGAATTCAGTTCTTAAGTTTATTGATTCCTTAAAATGATTAGGGAAATGATGTTTTTCAACAAATTAACCTTCATCCATAGGCTAAGGTTGGTGAATTGGGAAGAAATGCTGAATAATCATGTATAGATGAAAAATTCTGATCCTATTATTTACAACAAGATGATCGGTAGGCAAGACTATAATCTGTGGATGACCTTTGAACAAATCTTTTATACTGGTACGCTCTCCAATCATCCGTATATATTGCAGTACCCCGTAGTAGCCAGTGTTACTGGTGCTTATATTATTCAGTCCGCAGCACTTATTGTAAGTTGTATTAGTCCCACACTGAATCGAGCGAAAATATCCTATTCTAGCAGACTTCTCCCTTTAACACATAGTACATTGGAAGACAACATCATCACGGTAGTCTGCACAAGTTCCACAAGTCAGCTGATTACCACAATCGCAAATAAAGAAATTTCTTAATAATCCCATTTGTTTTATCTAAATTTCTCTATGAACCGATCGCACGTGAGCACCAGGTCCTAAACTGGCCGCCGTGACCTTAAAATTCCTGAAACTCTTCTGATTGGCTCGTCCATAAATTATAGTCTCGCCATTTCTGTGACCACATAAGAAAAAATACAGGGGCATCACTCTTGTATCAATACCGGGAAACGTCTTCAACAGGGTATTGGTAAACAGGATGAAGGACTCCGTAGATGCCCAACTTCGTGACCAACAGGCTGGATTCCGTAAGGATAGATCGTGGACAGACCAAATCGCAACTCTACGGATCATTGTGGAACAATCAATTGAATGGAATTCATCACTCTACATCAACTTCATTGACTACGAAAAGGCATTTGACAGCGTGCACAGAACAACATTATGGAAACTTCTTCGACACTACGGCATGCCTCAGAAGATAGTCAATATCATACGGGATTCTTATGATGGATTACACTGCAAAATCGTTCATGGAGGACAGTTGACAAAGTCGTTCGAAGTAGAGACCGGTGTCAGGCAAGGTTGCTTACTCTCACCCTTTCTCTTTCTGCTGGTGATCGACTGGATCATGAAGACGTCATCATCTGAAGGGAAGCATAGGATACAGTGAACATCTAGAATGCAGTTGGACGATCTAGACTTCGCAGATGATCTAGCCCTTCTATCCCAAACGCAACAACAAATGCAGGAGAAAACGACCAGTATGGCAGCAGGAGCCTCAACAGGAGTAGGTCTCAATATACACAAAGGGGAAAGCAAGATTGTCCGATACAACACAGCTGAACCAATCCAATCACAATTTTCAATACAAATGTCAATACAATTCTACTGTATGGGGCAGAAACCTGAAAAACTACGAAAGCCATCATCCAGAAAATACAGGTGTCTATTAGTAGTTGTCTACGCAAAATAATTCGGGTCTGTTGACCAGACACTATTAGCAACAACCTACTGTGGGAGAGAATAAACCAGATTGTAGTGGAGGAATAAATCAGGAAGAAGCGCTGGAAGTGGATAGGACACACATTGAGGAAATCACCCAACTGCGTCCCAAGACAAGGCCTCACGTGGAATCCTGAAGGCCAAAGAACACATTACGCCGAGAAACGGAAATAGACATGAGAAAAATGAACAAGAATTGGATGGAACTAGAAAAGAAGGCGGAGGACAGAGTGGGTTAGAGAATGCTGGTCGGCGGCCTATGCTCCATTAGGAGTAACAGGCGTAAGTAAGTAAGTAACGTAAGAAAAAAACAGAGGCATTGAACACTTGTTTTGTACACATAGACTACAATTATTGACTTCCATTCATATAGCTTCCATGTTATGTGAAAGATGAGATCCATCTCTTTCTATACATTGCTTTTGAATATTGTGGTCTTATATAACGTAATCATCATCGATAAACCTCTATTCGATTGAATTAAGTCAAAATATTCAGTCGTTTCTATAATTAAACAAAATACAATTTAGTTGGTAGTGATATGTGGTAATGAAGTTAAAGTATGATTGGTTGTCAAGCCTGGACTGATTGTAATTAAGTGAAGCAAAGTCTTGTTTAGTGTTAATCTGATTCTTCACTTTTACATCTCAAATCCTTACTCGGATGTAACATGATTAGTCTTATTAACGTATTAACACTTCATCTTAATAGATATCTGAGAGAAGATTTAAAAGTGTTTTAAACCATACGTTTCATCAGGTAGGATTTAGCCATCATCATTAAATAGAGAACATGAAATTCAATATATTTAAAGGGATTAACTAAATTCATCTTAATGAGAGTCAGCTCTCTCTCACTCTCTCGAAATTCTGTAACATGGCCATGTGCATACAACCACTGTCAGGGAAGTCCTATTCATTGCTTTCTCGCAGCGGAGGTGTATTTCACGAAATTGAGAAGACAAATAGAGAATGTCCGACACTTTAACCGGCTTAATGGATACGGTGAATCCACCTAGAGTAGTTGGAAAACCATGATTTCAAACCAATGGTGTACATGGGCTCCAGGATCCTGAAGGAACAAATAACGTATAAACCAATTATTAGTCACCAACTACCATGAGACTGCATCTCCTGACGTCGCTCTATTGCCTTGTGGATTTGATCTTTCAATCAAAGGCTCCGAGTATAGTAGTAGAGGATTTGATAAAAGAAAACATAATCCATGATTAAACGAATACATTCTTGAATTATTAAAGAGATATATTTTGCTTAAACTTATCTTTTAGATACTTCAGAAGAGGCTAAATGGTTAAGAAGAAAGGAGTTATTAAAAGAACTTGCTAGAACTGTAAGTTTATCTCAATTTATTTTATTCTCAATACGAAATTGATATAGAAAATGATTTATGAAAAATGTTCAATGAAACAAAGGACTTTTATTCTGTACTAAAGTCAACTATACAAGTAGATTTATAATGCAATTAACTATTAGGTAGATGAATGTTGTTCAATATTAGATTAGTCATGGATATATTCATGTGAACCAAGAGATCGGTTAGCAAGTAACCCTAGTAACTTAAGGAGAAGGAAATTGATGGCCATTAGAAGTGACCTGAAGAACAAGTGTATTTCATTGGTTAAGAAATGAGTCAATATTTCTACGGATTAAAATGGTACTTATCTATATATGAATGAGTATTTGTGCATTTTATCCGATGGTCCCCTTAAATGCTCTGGTACGGCCGAGAGTCCATTCTTCCTCTCGAGATGCTCTCACATGGCCTCGCGTATATAGCCTCTGCCAGGGAAGTCTTACTCACTGCCTTCTCGTGGCGAAGGGGGGTTGCCTACGAAATCGAGAGGACGAAAGGCGAAAGCCGGCGCTTTAACCGAGTTGGTGGGCACAGAGAGTCCACGTAGGGGAGTTGGAGAACTCTGATTCCAAACCAGTGGTGCACATGGGCTCCAGTATCCTGAACGAACAAATGGCGTATGGAACAATCGTCGGTCACCGGCTACCATTGGACTGCATCTCCTTACGTTGCATCACTGACTTTTGGGTCAGACCTTCAGGTCGAAGGCTCCGGGTGTGGCCCCCTAAGAAAATCACCTGCTTCGGTCTGGGAACCCGTGCAGTATCATAGCCCTCAGACATATCAAATGAAATCTGTGTGGCGTATATGTATTTGGTTCCTCCTTGTACCAATATCTATGTGTTAAAATAAATAAATAAATGAATAAATATCCGATAGTCCAATGCATTTTCTCACTCAGGTTGTCAGTTGAGAGGTCAGCACATAGCATACCATATTTCAATATCAGATTGTAGACATCACCTGTCATAATACTTAGATGATATCTTTAAAAACTCATTAATTTTCAGCTATCAATCCAGTTCGCTCTAGTCAAAAGCAAAGGATATACACAAAATATTGATCAAATCATAACTATACAAAGAAAGTACAAATTGCAACTTGGTCGATAGTATTCGATCGGCACTAAGTAGGACTTGATACATATGAGATTGATCACCATCCAGCGATCAGTCAATTGTGAAAGTAAATATTCATCCAATAACTAACTTTTAGTCAACAATCTGATCTAATTTAGATAAAATATAATCACCATTCCTTTGTATTCTCGATCCCTGTTTTTTAGTCATCTATCTATACAGAAGGTATGACACAAGAAATGTTTATGTTAAGATTTTCCGAATTCGTTGAAGTACAAGAATTGGAACCATGTGATCGAAGTGCTGATAAACCATGGATAAGATTAACATCAAAAGATAAAGTAAGTAAAGATCTTCTTAATCTTCTGCCTCCAGATATTTCACTTTCAGTTTATGATATATACTATTTATATATGTAGATATCAGTAGAATATACCACAATTATTGTTGAAAAGATTTCATCTTAAGAATATGACTGGAGAAGAAACTGTTAATTCGAAGAATAAAACAAAAAGTGAATACACTTGAGACATAAAGAAGAATTCTCAGCAACACTAAGCAAGTTATCAATCATACGAATCTCAATCAAGCAGTCTGAATCAATCTATGGGAGCTAGTGCCACGTATTTATTCGGCTACTCTTAGCCGTCTTACCACGCAGTCACCATGTATAGATACTTTATAAAACAAGCTGACTTTATTTAAACAACCATTGGTACTGTGAGATAGAGAGTTTTGTATTCAACACCCGATAGATTCATGGTTGTTTACTGCTGAGAAATTGCATACTAGGACGAAACGACTTTAGTTTGAGACTTATGCATAGCAGTTGTTGTCCATAGAGTTTTATGAAATACATAAGCTTTAATTTTTCTGCAAAATACAATCCTTTCAGAAAACAGACTAAGCTTAGCTATCCACAATTTTAAATTGAATTGAGTTTGATATAGCAGTACAAGTATTTATAGATAGTTGTCTACGTAAGATACTCAACATCCATTGGCCGGATACCATCAGCAACAGCCTTCTGTGGGAGAGAACAAACCAGATTCCAGCAGATGAGGAAATTCGAAAAAGATGATGGAAATGGATAGGACATAGATTATGCAAATCGTTAAACTACATCACGAGGCTAGCCCTAACTTGCAATCCTGAAGGTAAACGGAAAAGAGGAAGCCCAAAGAACACATTACGTCGGGAAATAGAAGCAGATATGAAAAGGATGAATAACAACTGGAAGGAGCTGGAAAGAATCGGCTAGGATAGAGTTGGATGGCGTAAGTAAGTAAGTTGATATAGCAGAATCAATATTCAGTGCCGCCCTGAATACTTATTCCATTATCCAGATGGTTGAGTTATATAAATCATAAAGAATTACAGGAAATTTGAGAATTCATCACAAACTTAAATACTATTTATGGATGGTTTCTGTATTTCACGGATTAATCTATACACTGAAGTTATTTGAGCAAATTACCAGTCTAAACTACAATTTTTTTAATCAATTTGAGTCCCACAGTGAACATTAACTCTAAGATGCAAGTAAATCCAGCTGACGAATCCAAAATAGGACGAAACGCGCGTCCTAGATTCCACAAATGATATAACCCAACGACCGAAAGAAAGGCACAGGACAGAGTGGGCTGGAGAATGCTGGTAAGCGACCTATGCTCCATTGAGGGTAACAGGGGTAAGTAAGTAAACCCAACGACCATAGCATATACCCAGCAACAAATATTATATTTTCATTTTGCCCGGTAAAACAAAGATAAACCAATAAAATAGGTTAGTAGATAAAGTTTAAATATGTTTTTGTTAGTTGAATTCATGAATCAATTAAAGCTAGACCACCATGGAAAACCTGGGAGCACTGGATGAACGTTTCATTTTAGTATGGCGCACTGCTGAGGAGTCCCATACTAGGATGAAATGACCATCCAGTGCTCCCAGGTTTTCCATGGAAGTCTAGCATTAATTGATTCATGAATTCAACTATCAACTTACCAAAACCCGTTTTCTGGTAAAATATGTTTTATGTCAAATATATCCAATTTAGGCACAGATTCGTAGGGAGTTAAATGATTACAAAATGGCTGAAATGGATGTACATCAAGACAGTCGACAATTCACCAGGTAAATCTTAATTATTTTTGTATGTATAGAGTTGTTTATCTATGATTAGTTCATGTATATCTGATAACTGTAAAAGAAGCAACCTTATTACGTCTGAATTGGAGCTTTTCTACAAAGTAACTTGAGCTAAAGTATTTTAAAGTACTAGATAACTATTAGAGACTTACCAACTATTTACATACGAGTGACTGGAATCTTAAAAATTCAAAACATAGTTTAATAATGAGTAATCGTTTCTTTGTTAAGATTATTGCTATGAGATAGTTACTCACTAAAGACAATGGTGAACGGTGGCCCAATCTCGTGGATTGATTGAAGTTAGACATTAACACCGTTGGATGCCGACCGGCTGAGTGGTCTAGAGGTTAATCGTTCGCGGGCGGGACTGATATGTCCTGGGTTCGAATCCCGAGGGGGGGGGCCCGGACGCGCATTGCCGAGGAGTCTCACAATAAGACGAAACGGCCATCCAGTGATTCCAGGTTTACCTAATGCTCTAGCTTCAATTGACCCATGAATTCAACCATACAATTACTATAAGATAAACAAATCCCCTTCTGATGACAATGATTTAGTTAATTTGGAGATGATATTTTAGGAGTAACTTCTGTTAGAGAAAAAGTGATAAATAGGAACCTATGATGAAGAATGCTGGCGACCGACCTATACTCCCCCATGAATGGTGATAGGCGTAAGTAAGCAACTTAATCATGGCTAGGTTCTAAGTGATTACTGGTGTCTAGTCTGTAATTCAAACAAAATGATTTTTTGGTGCTTTGCTTTACAACTGTTACTACTCTACGGCCGTTTCGTACAATTGTGAGACTCATCAGCAGTGCGAACTCACGATCCCGCCCTATGAGGTTCGAACCCAGGCCCTTCAGTCTCGTGCGTGAGCGCTTAGCGTCTAGACCACTGAGTCGGCATCCAACAATGTTAATGCCTAAAGTCAACCAATCCGCAAAATTGTGCGACCATCTTCCATTGTACTGAAGTAGATACCTATCTCTACCTGACACGGATTAGCTTCACTGGTCGCGGCTTCTCACTAGAAACTCCAAGAATCCCCTCCAACATCAATCGATTCATTATCTCAATCAAAAATCTAATAATATTCACAACTGTATACTGCGAAAGCATTTTGTGTTTAGATTAACATTTAGTAAACAGTTTTTATCAATTCATTCTAGTATATCAGTTCACTAAAATATTTGACTACTGAAAAATTTATTTTTTTGATTTTTATCGAACAGATTTCATCCACCGTAAAGATTTGTGGAATAATTCACTCAAGATGGGCAAGATCTATTCCATCTTATCGAATTCATCTTCTTCATGTATGTACATCTGTGTAGACCATCCTCCACATAACTGTCTATGAGTATGTGTGAGGATGTGTATACATGTCAATGAATAAATCTGGACCCAATAATAACTAATCTGTTGTACAATAAAGAAACTGTTTGTTCTATGAATGAATCAGAATTTCATCTCATCTATAGAATGATCCAATTATTCATTGACATACATCAAAAGAGGATCATCTTCTATTATGAATAATACATTAGAACTAATTGTATATAACTTATCAATGTATCTTTAGTGTAAATTAGGTATTGCAAATTGATGAAAACCTTTTACAAAAAGCAGAACAATTCACAAAGAGTATTCACATTGTGTATGTATGTTTACATTAGCAACTAAAGGGAACAAACACACACACACACGCGCACACACACACGCACAAACAAAAAAAGTGTTGCCATACAACATGAATCATTCATAACAGTCATATTCTCTTTTTGTTTGTTTTTTCTTTCATCAGTTGAGAGAGAGAGAGAGAGAAAAAAAAAAGGAACATAATTGACCATTATATTTCGATGTATGATAAATTACAATTTCGATTTTCGTAATTCATTTATTTACAACAACAAAAAAGGTGATATAAACATAGTTACAATTCATTGATTTTGGTGTAATTTTTAAAATAGATTGTAACTATGCCGATAGTTAATATGTGCCCTGACAACAACAAGTTTATTTGTATATAGATGAATGTTTTAATAATAAAGAAAAAAAAAAGAACAGAAGAACTCAATAATACAATTTGTTCTATCAACAAAGAGAGATAATGTCTAGTAATGCCATTCAGTAATCCATTATATATTTTGATGGAGTTTTGTTCTCTGAGCTGGATAGTTTGGTTGTGGAGCTTTCATCGTTCTTCTGAACGACATCATAATCACCACAAACTTCAGATAGAAGTGTTTGAATTTCTCCATATGTCTTTCATAGCTTGTTCTGTGCACCTCACTGTTGATTGGCTCTTATGGACCTTAAATTTGTCATTGTTTTGGTTGTCTCCCATTGGTGTTTGATTTTTGTTCCTATATTTATGCATGACTTTCCTGATTGGTTGATAAATTAGATTGATTTCAATATGTTTGTTGATTGCTGATTGACCTGAGTGCCAGGCTTCTAGAAATTCTCTGGTGTTTTTGGACTTTCCTCTGTCTAAGATTTCTACATTTTCCCAATCGAATGAGTGTCCGTAGTTATCCACGTGTATTGAAATAAGTGAAGAGATATCATGGCGTTTGACTGCTAATTGATGTCCATGTAGGCGTAGGTGGAGGGGGTGTCCACTTTGTTCGATATAGTGTTTGTCGCAGTTGGTACAATTTATTTTGTAGATGATGTTTGATTTGTTTTCCTTTGTTTTTTCATCCTTTGGTTTGCGTAGGATTGATCCTGTGATATCTCCTCACTCATATCAATACACGTAGACAACTGCGGACACTCATCCGATTACAAAAATTTGGAAATCTTAGACAGAGGAAACTCCAAAAACACCAGAGAATTTTTAGAAGCCTTTCACTCAGGTCCACGACCAAATCATCCAGCTCAGAGAACAAAACTTCACCGAAATCATAAACCTGAGCTACAAATCTTCTCCACCATCTCAATATCCATTATATATTTTTGTGTATAAAGCTTGTGATTCTTAAAAACAATATCGAAACAGTCCACACAGGATGTGATTGTTGCTACAGAATACCAACATATTAAAAGTTTATATTTTTTGCAGAAGGAAGTTCAAATAATTTATTATACATAATTGATGCAGTATAGGTACTTAGATATATCAGTAAAGAACTGCCTTGGTGACTGAAGCATTTGACTAGTTTCAGATTCATCGGCACAATTTGCCTACTTTTATTCAAGCAATCGATTATTAGTGCAATTAACTATTACATTAAAAGTCGACTTCATGACAGAGTACATGAATCTATATTTCATATATGAGTCAAATTTCTCTAGGTGCTTTTGCGTCGTATTTTCTTGCTTTGTTATATGATGGTAAAGTGCATGCAATTCTGAGTCAACCAAGAAATATAAAGTCTAAAATGCACATGCTCGCCCAAGGAAAACAATATGTGAAATGCGTTTATGGATGGACGATAATGGTCGAGATTTAGCTCAGTTATTTGAAGGTCAGTCAGCTACAATGTAGGACCAGGGACATATATGCATCGGTTTAAGTTGGCATACCTCATTAGCACAACAAGATCAACACCAAATTCTTAGTAGTTAATTCAATGGTGGTTATATATAAAAGAAAGATTGCATATAAGGATATGATTGGACAAAAGCTGTTGAAATTGAGATAACTACCATTCCATGTGTCTTTCTTATAAACTGAGCCACCTATACACTAAAGGATTCATTTGTATTTGCTGACAGCATGAATCATATAAATATTGCTGGTAATTTTATGGTTTCTTTTGGTGTGACATCATTGTTTACAAAAATATCACTTCTTGAAACCATAGACATAATTTGTCAACATCCTGATATCCTACCTCTACCAGCAATAGAATTCAAACGACAATCACTCTTGTGTACAAAAGATGTTCAGTTCCAGTTCAACAATACTATATACCGACAAACCGATGGTGTAGCAATGGGAAGTCCGTTAGGCCCCGTCCTAGCAGACATTTTCATGGCTAACCTCGAAAGAACCAAGCTCAAAGGAGCGATTGATGAAATGATGTATTATTCGAGGTATGTTGATGATACATTCATCTTATGTAATAATCAACAACATGCAACAAATCTGTTAAAGTTTTTCAATGAAGCTCATCCAAATATTCATTTCACTATGGAACATGAAAAAGAAAACATGTTCCATTTCCTCAATATAGCGATAAAACCAAGAAAGGATGGCACAGTTCAACGCTCAGTTTATAAGAAAGACACATGGAATGGTAGTTATCTCGATTTCAACAGCTTTTCTTCAATCATTTATAAAAAGGCACTTGTCAAAACATCGTTTCATAGGACAGAAAGAATATGCACTGCAGATACAATAGAAGAGGAAATTATGAATGTTAAAAATTGTTTAAGAAATAACGGATAGCCATTGAAATTCATTGAGAAATATGGAAAACGTGAAGATAAAATACCCAAAGAAACTACAGTAAATAAAAAACCTGTTTTTATTCAACTCAAATTCAAAGGTGACTATGTCACAGGATCGATCAATATGAGACTAAAAACTGCACTGACAAAAACATATCCTGCAGCTAAATTGATTGTCCTGTCCAAAACGACATGTTCTTTGACACAATCAAAGGTCGACAGGTATCCCTTTCATGTTACCACCAACTGTGTATACAAATTTACATGTATCTGCCAAAGTAGTTACATTGGTAGAACAAAAAGGAGAGCCTACGTCCGATTCAAAGAACATATTCCGAAGAGTTTGAGATCAAACGGATTAAAAGCATTCAGCAGCGCTGTCGCAAGACATCTCACTGACACAGGACACGAAGTCGATATACTGAAGTCCTTCAGGGTGAGCAACAAACAATCAAATTCAAACCTTTTGAAATTCGCGGAAGCAATAGCAATCAAACGTTTAAAACCAGATCTTTGTATACAAAAAGAAACAGTAATAAATCTTTCTTTGCCCTGGTAACATTCACCCCATCCCCTTTTATTTTATTTTATTTATTTTTATTACGTCATTTCAACTCTTTCTGAATTTTATAATTACATCATTCATAACTGACCAATTTCAATTCATATCTCGCTTTATTAACATTAATCTATCTTGAGTTACTTCATTACATAATCGTCTAATGTGTTTTAATTCCATGATTTCTAATTACTATTTCAATTTTCTGGAACCTTCCCTCCCAAACTCTATATATTCGAAACAAAAATTTTATGACCTCAATCACTCTAACGAAATCTTTACCACATTATGTTACATATATTCATCCTTCATCGCCCTCTGTTGTATAAGTATGTCAATATCTATAATAACGTTGAATTTCAAATAATTTAGGTTGTAAGCAGCTGATGAGAACCTAACGAAATAAAATGAATTCATATTATTCTGCACCAACCTTTGTTCTTACTCTCTTTAAAATAGTAAAGGGAACTATGTGTATGAAATTTAATCTCTTAGTTTAAGAGAAGACAGACAGTATATACACCTACGCCATTGTGAACGATTCTGAGCCATGTCACCAAGAGTCTCCAACCACTGACTACGACAGTCACGCCGACCCCAACCAATTATTCTGCATCTACCAACATTGCTCAGATCAGAAGTTAGTGACTTCAAGGACTGATGCCATGTCTTAGTCTGACCGCCCATAAGTTTCTTCCAACCGTCTCCAAAACTAGTCAGCATTGCGCGTCGTGGTAATCGGTGTTTAGGTATACGTAGCATGTGGCCCGAAAATCTCAGTCGACGAAGATTCACAACCTCATCAACTGATACACCACTATTACCTAATACCTTGAGTCTAACCTCACTATTACTTACCCGGTGATCCCAGCAGATTCAAGCAATATTTCTAAGACATCTGTGATCAAATACTAGTAACTTGTCAGTATCTATTCTTGATGGTCACATTTCGCACGCGTAAAGTAGGGCAGAACGAACTGCTGCGCAGTATACTTGTCCCTTAATTGATAGAAGGACATCTCGCCTTCGCCAAAGGTCATGTAAGTTGGCAAAAGCCTAACAAGCCTTTCGAATCCGTGAGCAGACTTCGTCAAAAACCAACCCATTAGGGATCATCAGACTTCCAAGATTGGTGTTGTCTACGTGTCCAACTACTTCACTCCCTATCCTTAGTTCAGATGTTGAAGCAGGCCAGTCCTGGAGTCACAACTTGCATTTAAAGGGAGAGAAGCGCAATCCAAACATTCTGGCATTGTTGTTCGGTGCTATCAAACGACTCTGCATTTTATCAGCGTCTTCACCAAACAGGACTATGTCATCTCAGTATTCTAAGTCGATAAGTGGACCTCCTGGTAAGAGATCAATGCCCGAAAATCCGGCCGGTTATTTCCATCAGTAGGTCTTTGATGAAACTAAACAAAAATAGAGAATGTGGCCAGCCTTGACGGACATCACTTGAGGTTGCAAAATTAGATGATAGTTCTCCATAAGGTCTCACTCGACTAATAGTATCAGAGTAAGGAGTCTTCACAAGATTTATGTATTTCTTACGTACGCGTTTTAATGACAGACACTGGCACAGAACCTCTCTGTCTACAGAGTTAAATGCTGCTTTTAAGTCAAGAAATACCACAATTGTCGGATGCCAGTAAGCATGCCTGTGTTCTGAAACTTGACGAATGGTGACCAAGTCTGTAGTTCACGGGTCTTGCTTGAGGGATATATATATATATATATATATATATATATATATATATATATATATATCGATTCAGCTTGCAAATATAGCTCCCTATTCATTCTTAGTCTTCTGACTGATATAACAGGTTGAATTCGCATTACATAGAGCATGTATATATCGGCAAATGAATAAGACAACCACCGAAAATAACAAAATATAAAACTGTTATAGTAATAGATGATACATTTTAAGATTTATCTTAGATGTTATGCTGATAGTAATGAAAATCTTCAATCTGTGTATATATATATATATATATATATATATATATATATATATATATATATATACCTGTGTACGTAGGCACAAATGAAAAGGAACAATTCCTATCATTATGAATGGTATTGTTATTCTTTACATGGTTATTGAATAATTTATAATTACAGTATATTTATCATAAATTATATAACAGACATACATTTCATCGATGACATAATCAATGCACAAACACACACCTCACCCTTATATAATATGCAGCACTCAATATATATAAAACCAACCATACAGTACGTAGCACATTGAATAAAACGAAAGAAAAGAAAAAAAGGAGAAACAGTTACTAGTTACCTTTGCATTATCTTTATCGAATAAATTAAACTGATGTCTAAATATCAGAGAGAGAGAGAAAGAGAGTAAGAAAAATGAATAAAAACATCACTCATGATATACAAATTATTATAATATCCATGAATAAAAAAAAACGGTCTAGATACAAATTTTTAGCTTAGTTTACAACTTTATTCCCCCTTTGGAATCAATCGGTTAAATTAAATGGATTGTGAAGTTTGTTTGGAGAAACAAAAGAAAACGGCGGGGGGGGGGGAGAAAGGGATGATCAAAATCTACACACATAAATGAGAATCATTATCATTTAAATGAACCACACACACACACACACAGACAGACAAGAAAAAACAAACAAAAATAATTATGTAATACATAGTGAATAAAAGAGAAAAGGAGAGGATGTTTAAAAATTTAAACAATTCAAATAACTAGTAGGGAGTATCTGAGTAGGTTCATTCATTTGTATACATCAAAATATGATAGGGTAAGTCAGATTTCAATGTTTACAACTGGTTTTGTTAGAATAGTAATAATCATAATAATAACAACAACGACACCAGCAGAAATTATGATGGTGGTCATCATCGTCGAATTTTAAAGTTTTTTTTTCTTGTTGAAGAAGAAAGAACAAAGAAAAACATCACGTGTTACGCAACACATTTTTACATGGACACACGTCGATATCAGATGAAATTGTGTAAGGTAATCGATATTCACCTGAAATATAGAATTAGATAAAATGAATATTATTAGTATAGGGTTTTGGAGACAATCACTTTTTTCATTGAGATCATGAAACGATCATGGATGTGTACTGCTGAGGAGTCCCAAAATAGGAAGAAACGGCTGTCTAGTGCCTGTAGGTTTTCAATGGTGGTCTAACATCAATCGGTTAATGATCTCAATCAAAAAATTGAAACAGTAGTGATATTGAAAAGTTAAAAATATAAATATATATATATACTACTCGCAAGTAGTTTGGAGGAATTTAGCAAACAAAGATGTTATAGGGATACGCATACTGAGTTGGAGTTAACAGGTTCAATTATAATGGAGAGTAAAACTTTATATATTTTGATACAATCTGATCAATTCTATAATTTCAATAGCTACTATGTAGTTTCAGTTGATTTGTTAAATACAGATTGCATATACTTGACATTATTCACAAAAAAAACAATCGGTGATTGCAAATACCTGAACTTATTTGTTCTAGTTAGCGGCGGCCTATGCTCTTCCACGAGGGGTAACAGCCGTAAATTAGTATTGAAAACACTATCATAAATAGACTGAGAAACAGTAAAAATGACGTAGTGATAGGGATTAAGACTGATTACGTGGATTTAAGAATATACATCTAAATATTATTCTATAATGGACAAAAGTATGACGCAATTAGTCACCAGACAATGTTTCGTTAATATTATGAATAGAACTAGTCAAATGTAGATTGCCTATATGAATGTGAATATCCATATACTGTATAGAACAATAGAAAAGATAGTGACGTATGACAGGTTTATTATGATTACAGTTCTGAATTGTATGAATCAATGTCGACATAAAAAGATGCTTCACGGAAGAAACACTGTATGAAATGAATAGAATGGTAACAAACACTATTATTTCTCTAAGGAATCGATACTATTGATCGATTGGGAAAGGTAAACAAATAAAGTGATGTTATCTACCGTTGTTTTTCCTGTTAATTCATGAAGTATGCTTCATGGTATTGATGAAATTCTTTTACCAACTCATTTAGTACGAATATATATTTCATGTATTGGGCTGTGAATTACATCGGTATCGTGTGAGGTAAATGTAATTATTCAAATTGAATTAGTTATAGCAAGGTTTCATACTAAAATTTACTTGTTAAAAGCCAGTGAGTTCGATGAACTCTTTAATACTTAATGAATATAAAGATCATTGTATATTTTATAAGGTGCCCTCCAAATGCCTTGGTACGGCCGAGAGTGATGAGAGTTAGCCATCTCTCTAGAAATGCTCTCATATCGCCACTTGCATACAACCACTGCCAGGGAAGTCTTAGTCACTGGCTTCTTTCGGCAAAACCGTTGTTTACGAAATTTAGAAGACGAAAAGCGAATGTCCCGAGTTTTAACCGTGTTGGTAGATACTGATAGTCCATCGAGGGGAATTGAAAAGCCCTGATCCGAAACCAATGGTTCACATGAGCTGCAGTATCCTGAAGGAATAAATGGAGTATTGTTGGTCACTGGCTACCATGGAACTGCATCTCTTTACAATGATGCTCCACTGCCTTGTGGATCAGACCTTTAGGTCGAAGGCTCCGTGTGTGATCCCCTGAGAAAACCACCTGTTTCAATCTTGTCACCCGGACAGTATCATAATCACACAGTAACGAAGTGACTTGTGTGGCGCATATGTATTTGATACCTCCTTGTTTACGTGTTTAAATAAATAAATTATAAGGTAGTTTTCGTCATTAATTCAAATCAATAATATACAAACAAACAATGATGTTTAGATTACTAAAGACACAATAAATGTATTCCATGTATATATATAGATATGTACTGGCTGTTGATCAAATAATACAACATTACCACAATTGATACACTATGATAAACAATCTTCTAAGATTAGAACCCATACTGTTTTGGAAGATCTAAAATAAGGATGAAACTATATGCGTTCAATGCTTGGTAGGTTTTGTTGTTGTTGATTTGTTTGTTTATTTAAGCTAATGTCTGGTTACATTTAAAAAAAAAGTCATTCGTTTTCATTATATGAAAAAAGAAACTGTTGTTTAACACACTATTGAAAGAGGAGAAAAATAAGGTGTTAACATGAATATGAGACTGTCACCATGATGGATTTAAATGAATCAAATTGAATAAAACACACAATACTACTACTACTATCCACAATTTTTGTTAGTAGTATTCACTCTATAATGAAGGTTTCATTGATACAAAAAAAATGACACAATTATATATGAGATAATAATTGGATTAGATTAAAGGCACACAATATTTATATCATTGATGTTTCTCAGTTAATAGATTGAAAAGAAAACAACAACAACAACTGAGATTCTACAAATGATGGAACCATTGTGAATAGAAAGCGAGACTATAATGTATAGACGAACAAATCAGGTATAAAATAACAGGTTTCAGATTTTGGCATGAAATTCAATGAATCTTGGCATTGTATAGCTGATGTCAGTTCGTGATGAAAAACCTTAAATCTAATTCTTAACCGTTATCCATCAACTATAAATCATCATACTCGTTTATCACACTCATTTGTTCCTAGTCAGTAGGTGAACACTTTCAAAGTCATTCTAGCATCATTCAAAGGTTATCGATAAATTATAGTCTCACTGAAGATAATTTCAACGATAATTTCAATAGACTTTCAAAGAAAACAAGATAGTGACTAAGTCAATTGAGATGTATATACTTTCATGGGAACAAGAAAACAAAAAAACTGTGTACATGTTGTGTCCTCTTTTCTTCTTTCTTCTTTTTCTTTTCAAAACTCTTCAAATAGTAATAAGTAAAATAAAAAGTGCACATTTTGAGAATTGTGAAACATTAACTGTCAAAAATATATAGAAGAAGGGATATACACAGAGACTAAAAGCGAGAGGGAGGGAGAGTGAGTGGAAGCGAGCGAGAGGGAGAGAGAGAGCAAGGAACAAATAGAATGAATAGAAATAAATTTAGATAATTGTACACAATTTAAATTGTCTATTCCAATGAGACGAACACACACACACATATATGGAGAGAGAGAGAGAGAGCAATTGGAATTCAACGTATAAAAGTAATGAAATAACATAAATATAGGTGATCATTTCCAAAGTGATAATAATAACAAAAAGTGAACAAAGCACATAATATTGATTATTTCCCACCCCCAGGTCCCCCCACAAAAGAAATAAACACACAAATTAATGATGTTATAATATAGCAGTGAGTAATGAGAATACACACACACACAGACCCATACACAGAAATATAGAGAGAAAAACAGAATGAAACATTATGAATTAATTTATTGGCTAATTCAATAGTTGATGTTTAACACAATAATATTGGAATTGAAAATTCAGGAGTACTAGATAGTAGAAAACTTAACAATACTCATTTATGACTTCGGTCAAAGAGTTGAATCGAAAATGTTCAGATCTTGAAGAGAACGCTTAGCTACTAATAATCCACATGTCCAACTTGAATTCAATTCGTGATACAGTGTGAAATGATCAACGAATGACTCTAGAGTGATAACTGTTTCACTACTGACATGTTTGAACATCAGTAAAACACAACTATTCATGACTAGGACTTTAGGAACATCATGAATAGAGTCACTAATGTAATTTATTCAAATGGGCAGTTATCAATATCCATGAACAAAGAATAAAGATAAAAGTAATTAACAATTAACATCATAATAAATAATTAATATTCAATAGAAAACATACTTTTTAAAAAAATTTGCATTTAATAAAGTTACAATTGATTCAGATGAAGTATTATGTTTGCTTTGGTCGGTTTCTTCATCATTATTCAATAATTTAATTTCGATATCTCCTGATATACTACTATTAATAATAGTAGTAGTAGTAGTATGAGTAGTGGTAGTCGCAGGAGTAGGTATTGTTGTAGATAGTTTGCCATTACTGTTTATGCTGATAGAAGGTTCGTTGTCATGAGTTGTTACATAAGATACTATTCATTTATATAAATAGATAAGAAACACAAAAAGACAATTATGAAAAGTTCTTAGGCATAATATCATGATATAATTTAATGAAAGAAAGAAATCAAACAGATATTACTTATAAATTCATAGTAGTACAGTGAGTGGCCCGGGATCTGACTCCAATGAGATCGTTTCTGATTGCTATTGAGATATATATATCATTATTCCTCGCATAAAATTATAGACTTGGATCGCGTTAGTGAATAACGGAATTAAATAAGTCAAATACGAAGATGGATTTCCCAATACATATATTGTGTATAATCATTGACCGGAACAGATAATCCGAGAGATGTAACGAAGGAAGCGAAGAAGAGAGCAAAATGAAGCACAATGGAGAAGGCATGTGAACCAACTCGATTTATTCAAGCGTTAATCAATATTTATAGTCATACAAAAATAAACTACAAATATGTGGTGACTAGGATAAACTCATATAAAATAGTCAACGTTGATAAGTGAATAATTAACAAGGTCAAAATGTGACTCAAGAATGGATAAAACTTGGACTGTCCGAAAGCTAGAATAAGGTATATAGATTTAACATAATAACCGACACTATAGTAGTACTTTTAAAAGAATGTAATACAGTTGACAGATCAATAAAGAAATATTATATCAACTTTATACAGTTCAACAATTGGGATTGGAAACAAAAAAAGATACTGGTGAATTGTACTGTGAAGTCTTGAGCAATTCAACAGTTTCAGATAGAACTCTGTGTACAAGCAATTTCTCTTTTATTCATGAGTTTAACATTCTTTTTAATTCATTTCTCTATTTCTATAAAGTATACATCAATAACAGATTGATAAGCTTAGAACAATGTATCATTAAACTATGAGGTCGGGTGATACGAGTTTGAATCTCACAGGGAAAATTGGTTCCCTCGATTGGAGCAATAGCTTAATATCACTGGCTTTGATAGTGAAAGTTTGACCCAAACACAAGTATGCAAATCTGAACATGGTAGAAATAATTCTTAAATTACAGTCATATCTTGAGGACAAATATCAACTTGTACACAATCAATGTCTAGAGGCTTTTCTGTCGACAGATTACTTAATACCATTGAATATGGATTATACTTGAAATCCTGAAGGGAAGCGGGAAAGAGGAAGGCAAAAGAACACATTACGTCGGGGAAAGGGAGCAGATATGAAAAGGATGAATAACAACTGGGAAGAGCTGTCAATTGCATGAGAGAAATACGAGATATTACGTTAGAGATAGATGACTAGGGAAAAAATCAGAACAATATGAACGCTTAATTGTTTTAGCTAATCACTCTTAATGTTAACAGATAGAGTTATGAAATACAAATATTGGGTTGGACTCTCAATACCACTTACTTACGTCTGTGGAAACACGCTACCACGAGAAAGGAATGAGTAATACATCCCGAGAAGAGACTATAAACAAGTGGGGATCTAGAAAGATTTCGAGGGAGGTAGTACCAGGAAGTTGAGAAGTACTGGAAAAATATATTTTACAGCCGACCAATTTTAAAAACGTTTGTAGTTGGTTAATTTCAACCGAATGATAAAAGATATAGAATAAATCCGCTAGATAATTTATAATCCTACGCAAGTCATACTCACCTTCAGTTAATTTATTTGAATCATTATGCAGCAAAGATGTTGAACTACTAGTGTTAATGATTGATTGTTTACTGGAATGTTGTTGTTTAATTTGAATTGGTGACTTAAGATCTTCTTCATCATCGTCGTCATCGTCGTCCTCCTCAATGTTAAAATAACCTCTACTGTGAACATTGTCTTTGCCTTCTTCCAATTCGTCATTCTCATCCTTTTCATCATCTTCATTATCACGACCATTGAAAAAATCATCATCGCTATCAATATTGTTATGAAAATACATTTCTCCTAAAGGTCCAGGAACTCCAATATGGATATCAGGTGTTTTAACTTGATCTTTTTCTTCAGATTGATTATTATTATTATGATCATAAATACTATTACTATTATCATTATGTTCAGATTCTTCATCTGGATCTAACCATGAATCCATAAAATTCTGTAAAATAGTTTGTCGATGCAGATTAACTATTGTAGATGCTGGTATCACTGGATGATAAGCAAGATATTCATGATTATTTTTACCATATTCAACATGTTTATCATTGTCAATATCATCTAAGAAATAAGATGATGATTTTCCATTTAGATCTAATAATTTGTTTTGCATTAAATTTGATGATGTAACAGGTGCCAGAACAAATGGGACACTTTGTTGATAAGGATAAATGGTAAAATGAGAACAAAATGAAGAACCAAATGATTTGATTTTAATAATTTCAAAGAATTGTTTAGAGTATACAGTGGAATACGTTCTAATAATTTTGATCGTTCATATTTTTTTGTGAATATCCAACTAACCAGTGGAAACAGCCAGTCAGTCAGTTACAAAGTAAGACCAGGGCACAACCTCATCAACTGATTTACCATCATTTCCTAATACTCTGCGCATCAAACCTGAATATTATTTACCCGATGATTCCAGCAGATGCGAGCAATATTTCGAAGGCATTTGTGGTCAAATACTAGTAGCTCATGAGTATCTTCTACTCTTAATGGTCACGTTTCGCAGCTGTAAAGGAGAACAGAACGAATTGCCGCGCAATATACTCGTCCCTTAGTTGGTAGACAAATATTTCGCCTCCGCCATAGGTGACGTAAGTTGGCAAAAGACAAACGAGTTTTTCGAATCCGTGCTGAGAATTTGTCAGACACCACGAGTGGAAACTCTCATTTACAGCTTCACTGTTACGATCCGAAGTGGTTGGAGCGTAGATATCAGTGACTTTTCGAAAAACTACTATATTACAACACAAATTTCATAATAAAAATCGAGTACATGCATTTAGATGTGACAGTGTAATATGAAGATTTAATTACGTGGCTATTCAACATAAACTGTAATGATTTTTACAAGGTTAAAGTCATGTAGTAGTCCAGCCATGAATTGTTAACCTTACATTCCTATGGGTCATACAAGTGTGTAGCTTGACATTATAAAAAATGAAGCACACAGAAAAAATGATTCTTCATTACAGAAGTCATTGTGGATTAATGGATTCATGAATAGAGGATCCAAAAGTGATCATGAGTAAATCAATCCTATCAAACCAACTATTTCTTCAGTTTTCCTTCAAGAATACAGCAGGCTTGCACCGACGTTTTTGAGGAGCTGTGCTTGTAATATCATATTACCTGACATGACAGACGCCATAGAAGCCACGCACGAACCGGCGATCAAATGAGCAACAAATCTTATGCCTCCTTCCACCGATCAATGATGGCTACCACTAGAGTTCAAAGTGTCACGACTATCTTGGATTTCAAAAGCCGTTGTCTCCGAAGGATTGCTGAAAACCGATGGTAATAACACGTTATAAATGCATGCATTCAGCAAAGTGTGCTCGAGCACAATTCAATCGGTGTCAACTATCTTCAGTGACTTGGACATGTCCTACGAATGTCATCCTAGCAAATTCCACACTGTGCATTATTTGCCTACTCAGAGACTGGTTTAGAGAATGTATTTTTTGGTGCCATATTGTACTAATATATATGAGTGTAAACAAGTAATATTCATTATGGAGATAACAATATTTTGAAATCAATACTATGGCCTTATGTTACGTAACGAACAAAAATCAAAAAGGTTAGAAAATAACAGTGGAAGATAACTTACTCAGAATGATTAAGATTTTCAATGGCAGATTGAGATGTCTAGAAAAAAAAAAGAAAGGAACGATGAAATCTATCGGAGAAACAGTTCCAGAATAAATAAAGTTATGAGAAACGGAAAATATATAGAATGTGATCAATACAAAATCGATCAGTACTAACGACTAAACAAACGGTCACTGTTACAACTGTGATACTACAGTTATATGCAAAGACGGATAGTGGATAGCAGTGGAATCCAGGACATGCGTTTCGTCCTATTTGAGACTCGTCAGCTGGACGTACATGCACTTCAGAGTTGATGTACCCTATAGGGCTCGAACTAAGTACCGTTCGCATGAAACGCCATCACTCTATCCACTTACCTACTGAGTCCTGATAGCCACCTGATTGTGTAATGGGCTGAATTTTAAATCCACGAGTCCAGAATAGGATGAAATGCGTATCCTGGATTCCACCGCTAGCCATTATCTATGTTTGCATATGATGCTTGTGAATTAAGGCTATATCGAGGTTATACGCACAGTATGCATATATGTCAATAAGAAACTGATCAATTCCAGTCTTAAACCTCAATGGGAAGATTCAAACAAAGAATACAAAATGAATGTGATACTAGAAGTTCAAAATATTATGAACAGACGACTGGAGGGATTTCTTACTATTAAATAGTAAATTATATACTATAAGATAGAGAAGTGTTAAGAAACATTATTGCACAACTAAACAGTGTGACTTTGAGTTGAATTTGAAACGTATACTATACAAATGAATTAGAAAAAGAAAAGAAGGACTTCTGTTTACCTCAGCAACTTCTACAGAGTTGATCCCATCGAGATCTTTGACAAAATCTGACCATAGTTTTTGAGTGTTCGGATGTAAATCTATAAAAAAGAAAGTAATTTTAGGAAATTATTAAACATTTTCCCTGTAAAGAAAATAAAAACTAAAGTGATAAGTTTAGTGATTACGAGAGACATCGGGTTCTCTTATGCTCTCTACACAAAACCTCGAGGAAATTATATTCATTTACAATTAATTCTAACAATTAGAGAGAAATCAATCTGAATGATCCAATAAATTTCACGAAGGTCGAGACGTTGAACTTTGAAACGTTTGTATATGTTAGACAAATATAACGAATCCACAAAGACAAAATAAGAATGTAAAATATAGAGTGTTATCAATAAGTCAGTCATACGCCAACTACATCCTGGTATATATATACACACTTCGATTCAAATTCATATCAAAACATTCAGATGAGAATATCATGACAAATAGTAGTCTTTAACGTTTTTATAACCTAATCGCATACCACTCAATATTGTATGTCTAGATGTGATATGGCATAACACTACAATGCAAATAACTTCAAACAAAAGATCCTTGATTAAAATGGCAATATGGTATATGGGTGAGATTATAATTTATGGAAGATCTTTGAGCGAAGCTAAAGTGACCTTAAGAATATCGACATACTAAGTAGGACTAAATGAGGATTATAAACTATGGTCAAGAACTAGAATTAAGATTCACTGTTGATGGTTAAGGGTTAAGAATTAGATTTATGGTTTTCATCACATCAGCTAAAATGCTTAAAACGTTCATTAACTAAATGGATGAATGAATTTCGCCTTTTATCTTCTATCTGATTAGTTCATCCATAAATTACAGTTTTGCCGATATATGTTATTACTGCCCGTTTAACATACAATAGAAGATAGAATACAAATAGATTGAAACTCAAATATGAATACAACAAAGATATTAACTATTGAGTTATCTTAATAGGTATAACATCTTTATAGTTGGAATCTATTTAGTAATTATCATCAACGATTTAAACACCCACAGGTAACAATAAATATACTTATTTTAATATCGCAAATGAGTAGAAAATTGTATTTCTGATGTTTCGTAACTAAATATAAGATGTTTCTTCAGAGTAAATAAATGACAGAAATAATAAAAAAAATTAACACAAGTTTAAATTGTAATAATGAAACGTTAGAAATACAATTTTCTATTCAAATTTACATTGAGACCAACTTACATGTAACAGTCTTGAAAAAATTCAACGCAGTAATGAAGAAGTTACTTTAAGGATATAGAACCTAATTTGAACTTGTTAATGCCTCTTATTCATTGAATATAGCCGCACATTGTACTTTAAGTGATAATATAAGTTTTAAATTAATTCATATCTTTCTATGCGTAACACACACATATTACTCCTTTAACTCTGAATTTACATAAAAGTTCTTATTCGGTGAATGAATCTTGTGATCGTAATACATCATTAAACAAACATCGATATCAACGGTTTGAAAAGATAATAGAAAATTCATAGAGTATTTAAAAAGGTCAGATATATTGGTTGATAATTCTCTATATGGTATACAGATATATATATATATATGTCAATAGTTGAACTCATCAGCCAATTAAAGCTAGACCACCATGGAAGCACTGGACGGCCGTTTCGTCCTATTGTGAGGACTCCTCAGCAGTGCGCATCCACAATCCCGTCCCTCAAGAAATTCGAACCCAGGACCCATCGGTCTTGCGCGCGAGCTCTTAACCACTAAACCATGGTGTTAATGTCTAGCTTCATCTAATCCAGGATAGATCTATGTAACATAGCTATACAGAAGGTGTAATATCTGAAATGCAAATGTGTATTCCTCATTAGAGTAAAAGGTAAAATTAGAAAGTATATTGATGAAGTTACTAATTTTTAATCAAAGTAGTTGATATTCATGCATAGCAGCAGTCATATATTAACAAATTACCTTGAATGAGAGATTTTAAAAAATCTCCATACGGACCATTCATTGCTGCTACGATTAGGTTACCAATTTGCCAGATATGTCCTGAATAACCTGATTTTACAGGGTGTTTCGATAATCGAACTAAGCAGTTCGGTGAATCCCCATCATTCGGACTAAAGGGAATAATGATTACGAAAAACTATATATATACAACATGTATAACAATTAATCAAAACAAAATGATTATATCCTGGATTATGAGGGCCTTGAGTGCTGTTTGAGGTATGAGAGCGGTCATCACTCCCCAGTTGCCCACACCGTAGAAGGGTTGTTCTGGAGGTACCTGAAAAGGAAATTGGATTAGAGGTGGTCTTAGTGACCTGGGAGCGTGAAAGCAGTGCCCAAGAGACAACTGCTTGAGGTCGGTCACACACGACCTTTTTATGGGTAATTTTTGTACTAGCTCCGTACTTTTTGGGACCTTACCGCCGGAGACGGATATCCGTGGGATAAGGCGAGGTGTGCATCTTTAGGGTCGACCTTTTCTAGCCCCACCCCTCCTTGTGGGAAGACAGCATCGCTGTCATGCTGGTTGTCTGAAGGAAACATCTTACTCCTGTCACACCTCTGTACAGTCAGCAGTACGACTTCGCCTTTGGACCTTGGGTTTGTTGCTTTTAGTCTTACCTTTCTTCAACCGACCCGCCTGACATGGTAGGACCTTTAGGAACAGTTGTTCCAGCCAGTATAGCTCGGTTGCTTCATCACGATAGGCAAGCCCGACCACCACGTCAAGGTGGCAACAACGGTCAGGATATCCTGGATCCAAGACATACATTTCAAATCATCTAGAACTCTTTCTTAGTTCTCAATACATACACTGAGAATTGAAAAAAGTATCATTATCCTTTATGAAAAATGTCCACGCGAGTGAAAACCTAAATATCACATATAAGCACATCTGTGGTGTATGCTGCTTATACTAACAGATATAAGTAGTATGTTACAAAAATCGAAAGTGGATAACCTGCCACCAGAAGATTAAATTAAAGAGAACAAGAACCAGATACGAACATGTTGATTATTATATTTAAGGTGATCAATGTTTGTCGGTTATTTGAGAAAACAGTAAAATTTTATTATCGTAAATACTATTCAAAATGATATTTTAATTACACTATTGTTACAGTTCCTTGTTCTGATTTGTGTCAGGCTGAGTGAAGTGCCATAGTCAAAGAGTATTAAATAAGAAAGCATGTAAATAATTACAAGATTTAAGCCAATTATAGCCAAGAGTGATAGCAAGGTGTCAGTCTGTCAAAAAAAGACTGGTAAAATGTAGTCCCGAATTTTAACAATCACAAAATATAAGCGGTATGATAATCAATTAAAGGAGCTCATATAAGAAAAATACAAACATCCTAATTCATTATATCAGTATACAGATTCAAATGATGATGTTTATTTATTTATTTATTTGAACACATGAATATTGGTACAAGAGAGCGCCAATATATATGCGCCACACAAAACAATGAGAATTCGAAGAGAAATAGAAAAAAAGAACTAAGGAGCGCAAAAAGAAAAAGAGAACAATAACGAAGAGATTGGTGTAAGGTAGTATGGTAGAAATGAGGGAACGGAAAGGTACAATCAGAAGAAATCTTTCAGTTAAGGAAGACACAACCACTTTTTATGAGTCAGTCAGTCAGTCAGTCAGTAGCAACGTAGAACTTCGTACGTACGTACATCAGTTCGAGTTGCCACACCACATTAGCACAGAGATGCACTTGTCGATTCAAATCCGGTAGTGGTAGAGGTAATAAGAGTATAAGTAGTAATCGGGAAGATTAGGGTTTGGAGATGTTATTTAAAGAGTATAATCCAGTGAAAGAAATTTGGAAAGAGGAAAATAGGGACATGAAGAATTCAGAAGATTAGAGTTTGGGAGAACACAGAGAGTGGATGCACCTGCGCTATTGCAAACGATTTTGAGCCATGTCATTCAGGGTCTCTAACCATCGGTTGCTGTCATCTCGCGGTCCCCAACCAGGTAGTCTACACCTACCAACATGACTCAGTTCACTTGTCAGTGACTTCATGGACTTGTGCCATGTTTTCTTCTGGCCGCCCCTAGCTTTCTTCCAACCTACTCCTATACCACTGAACATAGCACGTCGAGGCAGTCGGTGGTTGGGCATACGTAACACGTGTCCCAGCCATCTCAACTGATGAAGTTTCACTACGTCATCAATTGATTTGCCATCTTTACCTAGTACCCGTTTCCTAACAACTGTGTTACTTACTCGATGGTCCCATGATATACGAGCAATGTTTCGAAGACACCTATGATCAAATACTAGTAACCTACGGATATCCTCTACTCTTACCGGCCATGTTTCACTGCCATAAAGTAGGACGGAACGAACTGCTGCGCAGTAAACACGTCCTTTGGTTGATAGACGGATATCTCGCCTACGCCATAAATGACGCAAGTTGGCAAAAGCTAGTCGAGCCTTCTGTATCCGTGCTGAGATTTCGTCACACACCAAACCACATGGGCTGATGAGACTTCCAAGATAAGTGAAGCGGTCGACACACTCAACTACTTCACTCCCTACCATCAGTTCGGGTGTCAATACAACCCAATCCTGAAGCAACATTTTGCATTTCGAGGGAGAGAATCGCATCCCGAACATGCTTGCATTGTTGCTTAGAGTGGTCAGAAGACTCTGCATTTTGTCAGCGTCTTCACCAAATAAAACTATGTCATCTGCATATTCTAAGTCAACAAGTGAACCTCCTGGTAGAAGTTCAACCCCTGGAAATTTAGATGAGGAGAGTGTTATCTCTAAAAGTACGTCAATGACAAAGTTGAACAAGAATGGAGAGAGTGGACAGCCCTGACGAACACCACTTGAGGTAATCAATTCTGATGACAGTTCGCCATAAGCTCTCACTCTACCAGTTGTGTTCGAGTAGAGAGCCTTTATAAGGTTAATGTACTTCTTTGGTACTCCTTTCAGTGACAAACACTGCCATAGAACCTCACGATCAACAGAGTCGAATGCCGCCTTAAGGTCGAGAAATACTACCATTGTGGGGCGTCTGAATGTGTGTCTCTGTTCTAGAACCTGACGTAGTGTGAATATCTGATCTATACAACCACGTCCAGGTCGAAAACCAGCCTGGTTTTCTCTAGTCTGCTCTTCACGAACTTTAGTTAGGCGTCGAAGTATTATTGAGGCTAATATTTTAGACACTATATTACTCAAACTGATTCCTCTGTGATTATCACAAGAGGACTTTTGTCCTTTCTTAAAAACTGGCACAATCAGTGATTGAGACCAGTCAGATGGGATTACGTCCAGTTCCCAAATTCTACCTAAGATCTCAGTTAATCTCATTGCTAATACTGGACCACCATCCTTAAAAATCTCAGGAGTAAACCTGTCAGGGCCTGCTGCTCTCCCTCGTTTCAGATTTCCTATGGCTTTTTCAACTTCGTAAAGAGACGGAGGACTTACATTAACTTGCCATTCAGGTTGACTAGAGATCGTGGGAAACCGAAGTGTGGCTGAAGGCCAGTTGAACTGATCCCTAAAGTGTTCTGCCCATCGATCCAATCTCCTGGATTGAGAATGAATAATATGTCCATCTTTCTCTGAGAGTGTTTCGCTAACAGTCGGGTTCCTAATTCCGGTTTCCTTAACGAGTCTAAACAATTGTCTGCTATTACCTATTGCCGCTGCCTTTTCCATCTCTCTTGCTTTCGCTACCCACCACTGTTCGCGATCATTGCGTAGACTTCTTGTCAGCTTGCGCTTAAGCTGACTCCGCTCTTCATTATGTTCAGAGCCAGGTGGAATGAGTTTTCGAGCATCTATCAGTGCGATAGATGCTGCTGAGATCCAGTGTTGCTCCCTAGCCGTACGGGTTACCGTACTAGCAGATATCACTGCTGTTTCCACAGCTTTTCGGATATCGTTCCATGCTGCCTCGGGGTGGGCATCACATACATGGCTGCCTAACTGTTTTCCTAGTTGTTCCTGAAATATATTCTTAGCTTGACTATCATTAAGTAGGCCCCTAAGAGGTTTCCTTGCAGCGTCTTTCCTACGTCCAGTAAGACGCAAGCAAATACGCGCTCGCACTAGAGCATGATCTGAATCTAGGCATGTGCTCCAGAATGAGCGACAGTCTTCTATCGAGCCCCTCCATCGGTGGCTGATAGCGATGTGATCTATTTGGGTCCAACGTTGGGACGAATTAGGGGGTCGCCATGTTAAAAGATGTTTTTCCTTATGCTTAAAGTTAGTATTTGCAAGGAACAGGCGGTTATCTGAGCATAGCTGCAACAGACGGTCGCCATTATCTGTTCTTTGAGCCACGACACCATAGGATCCACCTAGGTGTCTTTCCTTATCGCTTAGTTTACCTACTTGAGCATTAAAGTCACCGGCCACTATTACTACATCCGAGCGCTTAGATTTTCGGAGAAGGTCCGAAAGCTTTCTGTAAAACTCATCTTTTACATCATCTGAGCTGCAGTCAGTGGGAGAATAGGCTGAGACGACGAAGAGGCAACGACGAGTGTCCCTATCTTTCCGGATTCTTACTGTTCCGTTCAGTCGGACAGCGCACAAACGACTGTCTACTGGGATCCACTCTAAGAGAGCTAGTTCTGCCCTAGGACTCAATGCTATACCTACGCCGGCGAGGCCACGGGAAGCAGAATCAGGGCTTCCAGATACACGAAGCGTAAATCGAGTCGGTTCTTTATTTTGGCATGGTGAGGTCAAATGAATGACGCTACTTGGATCCTGTATGCGCGTTTCGGAGACGCAGCACACATCGATGGCGCGAGATTCTAAAGTTTTAGCTAAGGAAGCCTGCTGTCCTATTTGGCAAAGTGTTCGTACGTTAAAAGCTCCAACGTGTAGTTTAGAGCGTGGTTTCAGGAGACCAGGAATGGCGTTCCACGTACTCGAATCGTTTGCCCTAGCGGTGCGAGGTGATAAAGAGACGTGAGGAGGGTTAGTCGGGAGGATAAGAGAGGTATTAGGGGGTGTAGGAAGGATTTGAATGTGACCACCTTGGCCTCTTGTGCTGTTACGGGTATGAGGGCTGATGTCACTTCCCGGCTGCCCACACCGTGGAAGGGTATTTCTTGAGGAACCTGAAAAGGAAATTGGATTAGTGTTGGTCTTGACGACCTGGGAGCGTGACCGCAGAGCCCAAGGGACAACTGCTTGAGGCCGGTCGCGCACGGCCTTTTTGTGGAAGGTTTTTGACGTGTTAGCTCCGTTCTTCAAAGGGCCTTACCGCCGGAGATTTAAATCCGTGAGGTAAGGTGAGGTGTGACATTTTTAGGGTCGACCTTTTCTAACCCCACCCCTCCTTGTGGGAAGGCAGCATCGCTGTCATGCTGGTTGTCCGAGGGAAACACCTTACTGCTGTCACACCTCTGTACAGTCAGCAGTACGACTTCGCCCTCAGACCTTGAGTTGCTGCTTTTAGTCTTACCGTTCTCCAATCGACCTGCCTGGCATGGTAGAACCTACAGGAACATATGTTCCAGCCAATATAGCTCGGTTGGGTCATCACGATAGGCAAGCCCGACCACCGCGTCAAGGTAGCAGCTTCGATCGGGCACTTTTTATGAAGAAAGTAAAAGAAGGTTACAGCAGGATCGCCACTGGCTTCTATTCTGAGCCATATCTGATAACGCCTCTAGCCACTTCTCAGGCACATCCATCTTCAATAGACAATCCCAGAGAACAGTCCTATCCAACGAATCGAAGGCAACCCTGATGTCAAGAAACACTACGATTGTTGGCTTTTGATAAGTATGGCGGTGTTCTAACATTTGGCGGAGGGTAAAGATATGATCAATACATCCTCGACCAGAACGAAACCCAGCCTGCTCCTCGCGAGTCAATCTTTCTCGGGTTTTGAACAACCTACGAAGTATGACGGAAGCCAATAGCTTGGACGCAATCGGAAGTAGACTTATCCCCCGATAGTTGTTACAGGAACGACGTGAACCCTTTTTAAAGATAGGGACAACTATCGACTCATTCCATGACGTTGGTACACTCTCTAGTTCCCAAACCTTTGTAAACAACGTCGTCAATTCCTTAGTCAAAAATTCATCACCATCTTTAAAAAGAGCCAGAGGTAAGTCATCTGGGCCAGGTGATTTGTAACGCTTCAAGAGTTGGAGTTACTTGAGAACTTCCTCCTCGTTTGGTGGATCAGTCGTCACCGGTCATGGAGGGCAGGACAGTCTGACCGATGTTGCCGGAGCAGCAGGCCAGTTGAACTGCCCTTCGAAAAATTCTGCCCACCGTCCAAGACGTCGATGGATGTTAGTGATTGGCATCCCATCATCCTCGCAGATTGTTTCACTCACACCAGACTTCTTGCTGCCAGTGGCTCGAATGAGCTGGAAGAGCTTCCGGTAGTTACCAGATGCAGCTGCTGCTTCCAGCTCATTAGCACGCATCGACCACCAGGCTTCTCGGTCCTTACGCAAGCTTTGCCCAATTTCCTTACGTAACATCATTCGTTTATAGTCAAACTCACGGTCACCCGGAGTAGACCGACGGGCTTCAATGAGTTGTAAGGAACCAGAAGAAACCCAGTGCTTAAAAGCGGGACGTTTCGCAAACCCACAACTGACTGTTCCCGCCATTTTCATGGCGTCATGCAATTGCAACCAATGCTCATCTATACTTTTCGGTGGAGTGGTAGCTAGCCTAGAGGCTAGCTCGGTTCGATACTTACTTGCAACGACTTTCTGTGTTCGATCATCGCTGTCTCCGAAGGATTGCTGACATTCAGTGGCAACACCATGTCAGTAATGCAGAGGTTCGGGATCGTGTGTTCGGGCACAGAGATGATAATTCAATTGGTGTCACCATCTTGAAACACCGACTTCGGTGGCTTGGACATGTTCTCCGAATGTCGTCCCAGAGAATTCCACGTCGTGCATTATTTGCCGACTCTGGGACTGGTTGGAAGAAGCGGAGAGGTGGTCAGTGCATGACATGGTGTCGTGGCATGAAAGCTGCAAAGGACTGGCGTGTGTTGGTTCTTCACGACTCCCTGGTTGGGGTCTGAGAGATGGTGCTACACAGTGGCTAGAGACGTTATCAGATATGGCTCAGAATAGAAGCCAGTGGCGATCCTGCTGTAACCTTCTTTTACTTTCTTCATAAAAAGTGGTTGTCTTCCTTACCTGAAAGATTTCTTCCGATTGCACCTTTGCGTTCCCTGCTTACTAGCACATTAGCTTACACCAATCTCTTCGTTATTGTTCTCTTTTTTTCTGTGCTCCTTAGCTTCTTTTTTTTCTTTCTTTGTATTCCTCTTCGAATATTCATTGTTCTGTGTGGCGCATATATATTGGCGCTCTCTTGTACCAATATTCATGTGTCCAAATAAAATAAAATAAATCATCATTTGTGTGTGGGCTGTGATACTGCCCGGGTGCCCAAACCGAAGCAGGTGGTTATCTTAGGGGGCCACACCCCGAGCCTTTGACCTAAAGGTCTGACCCACAAGGCAGTGGAGCATCGTAAGGAGATGCAATCCCATGGTAGCCGGTGACCAACGATTAGTTCATACGCCATTTGTTCCCTCAGGATACTGGAGCCCATGTGCACCATTGGTTTGTGATCCGGTTAAAGCGCCGGACATTCGCTTTTCGTCCTCTCATTTTCGTAAACAACACCCCCGCCACGAGAAGGCAATGAGTAGGACTTCCATGGCAGAGGCTGTATACGCGCGGCCGTGTGAGAGTATTTCGAGAGTGAGAGCTAATTCTCCACACCCTCGGCCGCATTTGTTCTACAAATTCATTTACATCATCAACCTCCGAATGCTCTCACAGCCACTACCATGGAAGTCCTACTCAATGCCTTCTCGTGACCGGTGCGTTATTATTGAGGAAGGCGAAAAGCCAATATTCAGCGCTTTGATCGGGTTAGTGGGCACGAAGAGTCCATCTAGGGGGGTTGGAAAACCCTGATTACAAACCAAAGGTGTACAAGGGCTCCAAAATCCTAATGGAACAAATGGCATATGAATCCATTGTTGGTCACTGGCAACCATGGGACTGTATTTCCTTACGTTGCTTCACTACATTGTGGATCAGACCTTCAGATTGAGTGCTCTGGGTATGGCCTTTCAAGAGAACCACCTGTTTCGGTTTGAGCACCCGGGTAGTATCTTAGCCCTCACATTAAGTCGAATGATTTATATGGTGCATATCTATTTGGTGTATCCTTGTACCGATGTTTATATGTGTATAAATATACATATATTTAGAATGACATAGATTTAGGGTAATTATCTTAATTTGAATTGTATTAATGTGAGGAAAGCTCCTGGTGAACTTAGAGAAGCTCTGAAAAAGCTGAAGACATTTCATTTAATTATCATTTGAAAGAGCACTATAATCTCGATGTGTAGATTCCGGATTGGAAATATGCTAAAAACCACTGCAAACGAATTGGATGACTGTAATGAAGATTTCGTTTTGAAGTGTTCGAGTGCTCAAGTTGTATAACAATTAACTCATATTTATTCGTAACATGTACAATGTTAGTTTGTAGTAGAAAAAAAAGAATACTAAAGTTCCATCACAAAAGGTGAACCGCATAATGGACAAAACATAATGTTCTAATGAATTAATAGCCCTATAGTTAGGTATTTACAAAAGATAACACTTTCACGAGTATATGTTTTTTCTTAAAATTAGCGAAATGATTTGTTACTCATTACATTAGAGTCAGTCAGCTACAATGGACGAGCAGGCATTATTATTATTATTATTATTTGAACACATAGATGTTGGTACAAGGAGGCACCAAATACATATGCGCCACACAAATCTCATTTGATATGTGTGAGGACTGTGATACTACCTGGGTGCCCAAACCGAAGCAGGTGGTTCTCTTAGAGGGGCCACACCCAGAGCATTCGACATGAAGGTCTGATCCACAAGGCAGTGGAGCATCGTAAGGAGATGGAGTCACATGGTAGCCGGTAACCAACGATTCGTTCATACGCCATTTGTTCGTTCAGGATACTGGAGCCTGTCCATGTGCATCATTGGTTTGGAATCAGGGTTTTCCAACTCCCCTAGATGGACTCTTCGTGTCCACTAACCCGATCAAAACGCCGAATATTGGCTTTTCGCCCCTCTCAATTTCGTGAATAACGCACCGGTCACGAGAACGCATTGAGTAGGATTTCCATGGCGGAGGCTATATACGCGTGACCATGTGAGAGCATTTCGAGAGGGAGAGCGGACTCTCTCCACTCTCGGCCTTACCAGGGCATTTGGGGGCATATTTATGCATCGGTCTACAATGTCACACCTCATTAGCACAACAAGACTAACACCAAATTCATACAAGTAGTTAATTCATTGTTAGTAATTTATTAAAAATAGATTGTATATAGTACAGGAACAAATAATTAGTAGGTAGGAAGAAAGATATAAAAGAATTTTATTCTCACAGTTTAAGCGAAGACAAAGAGTGTATACACCTACGCCATGGTGATCGATTCTGAGCCTTGTCAACCAGTCTCCAACCACTGGTTACGATAGTCGCATAAAGCTCAACCAAGTAGTCTACATCTACCAACATGGCTCAGATCAGAAGTTAATGACCTTGTGGACTGATGCCACGTTTTGGTCAGTTTAGCCACTCCTAACTTTCGTCCAACCATCCTCAACACTTTTTAGCATTGCACATCATGATAATCGATGTTCAAGCATATGTAACACATGGCTCAATCATCTCAATCGATGAAGATTCACAATCTCATCAACTGATTTACCAATTACATGAGAACATCATATTGGATAAGAATGATTAAATGAATATAGAATACATGTAGTATTCATTCATTTCAAATAGTTATTATCATATTATGGTTTAACCTGATCAAACACTAACAATACAAATTCATTGTAGTATTGACGAGTGAAACGAAAAGAAAAAAAAGGACTCTATATGTATTTCTTAACATCCGGTTTAATTCATACATTCATACCATTATCTAATTAATTAACTATCAGTGAAAATAAACCAAACACTTCATAGACTACTAATATTATTGATATAAACATTATAAATTATGAAAACTTACCGTTCATTTAATGATGGTAAAGGGGATAATGTTAAACACCAATCAATAAGTTGATGATCTTTTATTAAACTAATTAATATATTTCTACTATATTCATTCTCATTTTGATGAATTAAATTAATATCACTACCCTTATCATATGGATTAAGTTGGTTAGTATTAGATGAATTTGTTGAATTGACTACATTATCAGAATCAGTTGTAGCAGTATTCGTCGATGAATCAGCTGATGATGATGATGATGATATTGAAGGGGATAAAGATTCGGTGATTTGATTATTGTCATGATTAGAAGATAGTTCAACAGTATTAGTACTAAGAGTTGTATTGATGAGATGATTTGTTTTATTATCATCAGATATATTAGTGGAATTATTATTACCATTAATATTGTTGACAAGTCCTGAATGTTTAAACACTGATTTTATAATATCAGTAACATAATGATGTAAAAATGTATTGTATGGATATAAGGCGAATAATTCCTATTAGTATAAACATGTATATATTCAGAAAGAAAGAAAAAGAGGAAGGAAATACAATAAATGTTTGTTTAATTCAATAAAAATCAATAATATTCATGAAAAAAAACTATACTATAATGAGATAGTGGAGAAGATTTGCAGCTCAGGTGAATGATTATCACAGAGTTTTGTTCTCTGAGATGGATGGTCTGATCGTGGAGATTTCATCGTTCTTCTGAACGACATCATTAGTACAAATTTCAGGTAAAAGTGAATTGTTGGAATTTCTCCACATGTGGTTCATTGATTGTCCTTGATATTGATTGGTTCTTGTTGACCTTAAAGTAAACTATACTTTTATAGATGAACTGATCAGATAGTAGTTAGCAGATTATAACGCGAACTTCAAAACCTGATGACAAGATAGTTTGTAGCTTCATATGAGCTAAGTTAGAAGGTAAAGAGAATATATCAATATTTTTAATTCATTTCGTATTATTTGTTTGAATCTTCTCATTGATGTTTAGATATATATCCAGTTAACGAATCCCAAATAGGATAAAACGTACGTCCTAAAGGGTTCCATTGCTAGCCACTATCTATCTTCTAAGTATTCATTAATGAGGCCAGAGTAACTACTAATATTAACTACTCACCATCCTACACACCTTTAAATTATTTAACAGCTTAACTAGTATTAATCTAGTATGATTCTCATTTATCATGTCAACTTGTTGAGTTTGTGTTATTTACATTCGAAATGTAACAAGTCACCGTTTAATTACACATTGGAATGTTTAGGAACTTAATATTGAAGTTCCGTTCACTTATCGTCTTATTATATATGTAGTAATAGGTGTTAGGAAATCTGTAAGAAAGTATAGTTTTATGTTAGTTGGCACTTGTCAACAATGTGCATCCCCACAATCTAGGAAATGATGCTTCCCGTGATATTTGAACAAATGTTATTCATTATCATGATCAGAGATGTCACCAACTAGTGAATTATCATGTTTGTCTCATATATTGAGTATCAATTACTTGTCAACAAACAAATATCTTCATTACTAGTATAAGGGTTGTGGAGATTATTAGGTTTTTGATTGAGATCATGAACCGATTGATGTTAGACCACCACAATTGAAAACCTGGGAGCACTGGACGGCCATTTCGTCCTATTGTGGGACTCCTCAGCAGTGCGCATCCACGACCCCGCTCCCGGGATTCGAACCCAGGGCCTTCGGTCTCGCGCGCGAACGCTTAACCAACTGGACCACTTAGCCGGCATCCAATGGTGATAGTTTCTAACATCAACCAATCCACGAAATTGCGCGACCAACTTCCGTTGTACTGAGGTAGATACCTGTCTCTACCCGACAAGGATTAGCTCCACTGGTCACGGCTTCATTGTATAATAGGTATTTACATTTGCAAGAATAGGTCAAAGATTTATTGTCAAATTAGAAAAGTGTTAAGCAAGTTTAGCTACCGCCTAGACTGATGTATATTATTACAAGGCAGAACAAAAGTGTCAAGAGTAGGATGGGAACCACAAGAATGGATGCTATTTGATATATACCTACCTAACAACATACATAATATATTCTTTCGATTTGATTCATACTTTCCTATATCTTTTGTTGATTTAATTTCATTGTAACGATACGATAGCTTAAATGACCAGAATGAACTAATAAGATATAAACTATAATATAACAATAGTGTATACACTATTTAGCTAAATAAAGTAAAATAATAGAATAAATAATTCGATTCCATCAATTAATAGTCGGATATCATATGTCAATCAGTCAATCAATCCACAACGTAGAACTTCGTACGTACTTACATCAGTTCGAGTTGTCATATCACATTAGCACAGAGATAAAATAGTCGATTCAATGTATATATCATATGATATGACTAAACTTTTAATAAGGCGCAAAAATGTTTTACATGGGATATAATAGAAAGAAATAACCAATTATAATTTACCATTGAAGTTTTTACAAATCCAATATCTACAATTGCTTTAGATAAATTAGTACTAATAGGTAAAGATATAAGTGAAGCAATTAATTGTAGAATAGCTAGACGACAACGTCCAAGTGGTGGATTTAATGTACAATGAGTTGTTGGCATACAATTATAAAATTGCTATAATAAATAAATAGATAAAAAAGATAATGTTAATTAATTTAACGGTTATCTTGTAAATTCAATATATATATACATCAGAAGGGATTTGTGGATATTATAGTAATTTTAATAGTTGAGATCATGAGTCAGTTGAAGCTAGACTACTATGGAAAACCTGAAAGCACTGGACAACCGTTTCATCCTATTGTGGAACTCCTCAGCAGTTCGCATCCCCGATCCCGCCTCGCGAGATTCCAACCCAGAACCTATCACTGGCGCGCGCGATCGCTTAGCCATTAGACCACTGAGCTGGTTTCTAATGGTGTTAATGTCTAACTTCAACTAACCCAGAAAATCGAGCGACACATTCACCATTGTCTTCAGTGAGTGACTATCTCACAACACACACGGTTGAATTCAAAGCTTTCGACCACTGATTACAATAATCACGCGGGCTCCAAGTAGTCTACATGACTCAGCACTATAGTGAATAACTTCATGGACTGATGCCAAATCTTGATTTGGCTGCTTTTAGCTTTCTTCCAACTTATTTTCCCACACAAGCCATCATTGCACGTTGACATAGTCAGTAGATAGACATAAATACAGACTTACTACTTCATAGATTGATTTTCCATACTTACCTAGAACTTGCTATCAACCTCAGAATTACTAACTCTACGGTCTAAAATGTACAAGCAATGGTTTAAAGACATATGTGATGGAATATTAATAAACTACGAATATCATATATTGTTAAAGACCACGTTTCAGTCATAAAATAGAACGAAGCGAACTGTTACTATTGACAAACTGATATCTCGTCTACGTAACAAGTTGAAAAAAGCAAAATGAGCTCTCTGAGTTTTCATAATGCTTTTTTTAAGCATATAATGGTTTACGACATAACTGTTGAATTAAAATAATTTATAAATCTCATTGATTCAAACAATTTATCCTTATTTATTTAATGACTACCATCTCTTTTTTACCGACCTGATCACCACACATATAAACTGACGTGAATTGTGTGATCACACTAAGAATGTAACACTGGATATTTGGAATCAATAATCGCTCAGTGGATAACATGTCGAACGCTTGAAGCGAAGGCTACTGGATGAGTCATAAGGTATACATTAGTATTGTGGTGTAGATACATACAACTGAAGAGTCCTGAACAGGATGATCTACGTGTTCGACTGATAGCCGAAATCTACCTGTTTTATACAATGATATTTATAATTTCCCCACTGTTTTTGAGTATAAATATTTTTCTAACATTGTTTAGTCATAAATCGAATCACAAAGGAAAGTTAGGCATTTTCTAAAATTATCCAAAAAAATCAGTATAAGGTTGTGGAAATTGTTGTTTTAACTGAGGTCATGAACCGATTCATGTTAGACCACCATTGAATACCTGGGAGTGGTGGACGACCATTTCATCCTAGTTTCAGACTCCCCAGCGTTACTCACACACGGTGCCGCACGCGAGAACCGAACCTACGACCTTTCGTACCGTGCGCGAACGCTTAACCTCCAGATCACTGAGCCGGCATCTAACGGTGTTAATGTATAACTTCAACCTATCCACGATATTGTGCGACCATCTTTCATTGTCTTCGGCGAGTAACTGTCTCACATTCGACACGGTTGAACTCTGTTGGTCATTGCTTCTGAATAAAACTCCGAGAATTAGCTCTCGAAGCTAGTCGCTAAACAGCGCATGATAATTATCAGTATAGAGTTGTGGTCGCGCAATATCGTGGATTGGTTGAATTTAAACATTAACACCGGTGAATAATTGTAGTGTTGGTTATTATGTTAAGCCTAAATACCTTATTCTAGCTTTCGCACAGGCCAATATATTCATTCTACTTAAGTCATATTTTGACCTTCTTAATTAATCGCTTATCAATCTAGACTGTTTTTATATGAGCGTATATGTATGTGCCCTTTTGTCTCATTCATCATATGTCTGTAGTCTAATTTTGTGTGACTGTCAATATTGATTAACGCTTGATTAAATGGAGTTGGCTAACGAGACTACTCCACTGCGCGTCATTTTGCTTCACTCTCTTCTAATCGCTTCTCCGATATTTAGTCTGGATCAAAGATTGTATGAAATACATTTATTCGGAATTCATTCTCGTATTTGACTTACTTAATTCAGTTACTGAATAATTTTCTCTGGTTAGCGTTTTTTCAGTGAATTAGTTTTCTACGGGATGGGGTCGCTAACCCAATGCCCAACCCCCTCCCTCATCCCGGATTGGGGCCGGTAGTAGCCCCCAGAGGGACTCCAGGCGGAGTTAGGGAAAGTGCCCAACTGCGGCACAAGACAAGCCCTCACATGGAATCCTCAAGGCCAAAGGAAAAAAGGAAGACCAAAGAACAGATTACGCCGGGAAATGGAGATAGACATGAGAAAAATGAACAATAATTGGATGGAACTAGAAAAGAAGGCGTAGGATAGAGTGGCTTGGAGAATGCTGGTCGGTGGCCTATGCTCCTTTAGGAGTAACAGGCTGAAAGAATAAAGAGAGAAATAATTCAGTTACTGACTAACGCGAATGAAGTCGATGATTATATACGAGGATTGACGATAAGTATTTTTCAATAGCAATCAGAAACAATCTCATTGGGGTCAGATCCTGGGCCACTAAATACTGACTCAGTGGTCTAGAGTTTAAGTGTTCGCGCGCAAGATCGAAGGTTATGACTTCAAATACCACATGTGAGATCGTGAATGTGCATTACTGAGGAATACCATAATAGCTACAAAATAGCCGTCAAGTGATCTCAGGTTTTTAATAGTGGTCTAATATCGATCGTTTCATGATTTCAATCTACAACAAAATAAAAACTTTAATATAAACTAAAGGATTGTTAAAATTGAATAAGAAAACAGTCACGCGATTCAGATAAAATTAGAAAACTTTAATAGAATTAACTAGGGGAATTACGAATACATTTATATATAGGGAGTTTGAGAATTGTTAATTAGCATGAATTATTTAATGTTATTCTGTTCTAAATCGATTATTTATTTAAACTTATAAACATTGATACAATAAAGCACCAAATAGATATGCACCACATAAATCATTCGATTTGTGTGAGGGCTGAGTTACTGCCCGGGTGCTCAAACCAAAGCAGATGATTTTTTCAGGAAGCTTTACTACAAGCCTTTGCCTTTGACCTAAAGGTCTAATTCACAAGGCAGTGGAGCGACGTCAAGAGATGTAGTCCCACTCGAAATGGTCTCACATGGCCACACGTATAAAGCCTCTGCCAGCAAATTATTACTCACTACCTTCTCGCACCACATAGGTTGTTTACGAAATTGAGGGGACGAAAAGAGAATGCCCGGCGCTTTAACCGGGTTGGTGGACATGGAGAGTCCACACTGATTCTAAACCAATGGTGCACATGGGCTCCAGTACCCTAAGGGAACAAATGGTGTATGAACCAATTGTTGGACACCGGCTACCATGGGACTGCATCTCCTTACGATGCTCCACTGCCTTGTGCCATGTTTTGGTCTGGCCGCTCCTAGCTTTCTTCCAACCTATTCCTACACCATAAAACATCACAAGTCGGGGCAGTTGGTGGTTGCAACAACTATTACAATTTCTTAACAATAATGATACAAATCTATTATTAATCAATAATTAATCAGTGTTAAGATAAAACAACTAGATGACCCTGAAGTGAATGTGAATCGAATATATATATATATACACAGGGGAGCATGTTTTATAAATGAAACTGTGACTATTTAATTGTTCAATTTAGATGAATCATCTAAAATGGGTGTTGCCCAGTGAAGGAAAAAGGATTTACTTTAGATAGTAATAAACAAATAAATAAGCAAAATTAGGAAACTTTTTTATTAAAAACTAGTTTTTAGAAAGAAACCATTAAAACCAATTAGATCTAAACTGCTGCTGTGTTACTACTACTCAATAATATATGGATAATAGTTACAAAATTAATCATATGCTAATCAATAATTTCAGTGATAACTAACCATTATCATGGTTACCATGCTTGAGCTGTGTTACGTAGGCCTAAAAACCGATTATCACGACGCGCAATACTGACTAGTGTTGGGGATGGATGGAAGAAAGTTAGGGGTAGTCAAACCAAAATGTGGCATCAGTCCACAAAGTCACCAACATCTAAGCTTAGCCATGTTGATAGATACAGACTACATGGTTGGGGTCCGCATCACTATCGTAATGAATGGTTAGAGACTCTGAGTGACATGACTAAGAATCGACCACAACGGCGTAGGAGTATACACTCTATGCTTTTCTTTTCGCTTCATATCTTTCTTTCTACGAACTAATTGTTTCTTCCTGTACTGCATTCTTATATGCAATCTTTCTTTCATATGTTACTGCTATAGAAGTAACAACTTCTATGAATCCGGTGTTGATCTTGTTGTGCTAATGAGGTGTGGCATTGTGGACCGATGCATATATATGTCTGGTCGTATGTTGTAGCTGACTAACTAAACCATTACCATATAACACACAAACTTATTATAATATATATTTTTGGGAACAGTTTATCGTTCAAATGAATTTAAACTATTATGTCTGATATATAGCGGGTGGGTGGATGGAGTGTTGGATACAACGAATGAGAATAGTCCTACTTATTGAGTTCCATGTTAATCAGTACTCATATTATAAACCAAAAGGGTAGTAAAAAAACTTAGACTATTACAGTGCGATATCCATTCAGTAATATTGTAGTGAACATAGGTGGGACAGTCGAATGTATTTGAACACAAAATTACAGAATATCTAAGTAAAATTTGGGAACCATATAGTGAATACTTAGTTTGAAAAATACCAATCAATTATCTCAAACCTGACTATATTTTTTGCAAATATCCGTCAGTCGTCTCAAATTTCATTGTTCCTGTATTTCTATACCAATTCCTTTCTATTCCCGTTCCTTCCTCTTCAATCTTCTTGACCTTCTGCTGCCAGACATTCTATTCCTGACTAGCGTTATATACTACTTATGTCTACTATATAAGTAGTACACAGCACAATATTATTAATATTAAAGAGTACAATTGGTTAAAATCTACAATAGGTGTCTATAGCTATAAATCATTAACTCATCTAACTATAATTGAGATTAAGTTTCACTCGGTTGGATTGATTGTGAACATGATACTACAGATGAATGTAACATAACAAATTAATTGAACCTAGAATTGCAAATTATTGTATAGTGACTTAGTGGTCTCTATGTTCACCAATGATTCTAAGGATTCAATCTTGTATGATATCGTAGATGTATACTGCTGAAGAGATCCACACTATTATATGATAGCTGTCCAACGACTGTTTAACTAAAATTAATCCATAATGTAAAATTATAAGTAATAAATAATAATAACAACCAGTTACTACATGTAGAATCGATTCAAATTAGTTAGAAGATTCAATGGAAAGAATATAAAAGCTAAAGAAATTCATCCACAACACTTACTGGATGAAATCGTTTCAACAAATCATGCAATTCATTTAAACATGGTAGAGATGTTTTGATTAGATTTTCTGAAGCTTTCATTATATGTAATTTATCAATAACGGTATTATTATTATTATTATTATTAGTAGTAGTAGTATCATCTTTTGATGAAGTAATGAATTGATTAGACTTTTCAACAAGATCACTGATATCATTATCAACAGTAGAAGAGAGATTATTGCCCAGATTAGTATTATTACGTAATATAAATTTCAAATTACTGCTAATATCACCGGAACATTTAATTAATGCATCAAAATCTAAACCATGTCCATCTTCTCCAACAGGAAAACTTGATTCACTAAAACAGTTGCCAACGTAAAGAAAAAAAAGAAGAGTTAAGATAGAAAGGAGGAGGAAAAGTAACATTATACTACTTAATAACTACTATTGAATAATCTAATTAAACAAACTGATTATAAATAATTAATACACTTGTTTTATTTATCGTTTTATTTGTTCAAGACATTTACAAACTTTCATCTCTTCATCAGATTTTCTTTGTTTGTGTGTTTGTGGATGGATAGAGAGTTACTTTGAATGCAGTAGGATTAGCAATTGTTTTGATAGTGAATCAGTAATAAGTAAACATAAGTAATCAGTAATTTCATCAAAACAAGTGATTGTCCTGAAGTTGAAACATCAGTAAGGTAATGAGTGAACGATACACACCTTGACAATTCGTGAGTTCTTCCCAGAATTTAAACAAAATGTTTAGTATTGTTTATTTAAATACATAAAAATTGGTATAAGGATGCACCAAACAGATATGTGTCACATAAACCATCTGATTTGTGTGAGGGCCAAGATACTGCTCGGATGCCCATATCGGAGCAGGTGATTTTCTTTGGGAGCCAAACCCTAAACAGATAATTGTGGATATACACAAAAATGTAAAGTATTTTGATGAAGTTTTGTTCTCTGAGCTGGATGGTTTAGTCGTAGAGCTTTTATCGTTATTCTGAACGACATCATCAGCAAAAACTTCAGGTAGTAATGAGGTGAAGAAGTAAACAATGACAGGTTAAAGGTCAACAATAAGCAATCAAGATCGAGGTCTACAGAACAAACTGTGAGTTATATGTGGAGAAATTTGGAATGATGATGTCATTCATAACAACGATGAAAGCTCCACGACCAAACTATCCAGCTTAGAGAACAAAACACCACCAAAATCATAGACTTTAGATACAAATCTTCACCACCATCCCGAAGTGAAACATATTTATATAATTGGTTAAACAATGATACCACAAATAATAAAGGATTCAACTATTAACCAGATTTAAAATGCACTCCTTGTAATGTAAAATTGAGCTAAATCTCACAATACTAATAAAGATTGACAGACATAGACCTTTAACATTAGAGAACGGTCTCAATATTACCCTGCCTCATGTAAATTTTTCATGCTTAAACTCAGTTGTATTTCTACACTTACGTAAAATTGTAGTTTGTAGTAATCAATTAGTCTAATATCTATTAGAATTAGTTATTCTGAAGTTAAACAGTTTATATCTAAAAGAAATCAGTGAGCCTATACTCAATTCTAGAGATGAGAGTGTTAAAAAAGAACACAACAAAGGTAGATGAAAGTTGGTCAAATTTTCAGCATCCTGTTGAAATACAATAATTTACCAGGGAGCACATATGATGGGATCAAATTGAGACTGATAGTTAGGTCTTAATTCTATTGATAAGTGAGTGATCCAAACTAATCTGATCTATATGAAACGCTTCTTTGAGAAATAAAAGCTAATCATGTTTATTTTTATTCTAATATTTTGTATATAAGATATATAGGACAGTGGCTAGCAGTGGAATCCAGGACATGCGTCTCCTCCTATTCGGGACTCGTCAACTGGATGTACCTGCATCTCCGAGTTGATGGTCACTCTGGGGTTCGAATTCAGTACAGTTCGCTTTAAACGCCATCACGTTATCCACTTAGCTACTGAGTTCTGATAGCCACTTGCTTGTGCAACAGGGTGAAGTTCAAATTTACTTGGTATTGTTTGTCTGAATCTTCCCACTGATGTTTAGGAATGTATTCATTTGAACTGCAGAGGATAGAATGTTAGTGAATCAATATTATAGCTAGCTAGAAACCGGGTATAATGTATCATTCGCAAATTATTTATCGATACAATACGTTATTCATCATTTCAGTAGTTCAAGCAAAGGTGTACATCAGTATGAAACCATGAAAACACCTATTGAATGATTATTGTCATGGCAATAAAAACGTTCATAAACATTTTAAAAAAGGAGAGTATTAACTTACGGCTTCCTTTTACCGATTAAAGCAATACATACATTTACACAACTGACTAAAATAGATGGTACGACGTATTCATTAGCTGTAATACGATTTAATAACATTGACATAGTTTCTTCACTGAAAAGAGAGAAATAAAAGGCTGTTTAACATAAGGCTCACTTTAACTACGAATTATATACAACAACAAAACAAAAATGTGATACATTAATTACGAAATAATTCAGACACTTTACATGAGGTATGATTTGATATGATGATCTGTACCAACAACAAGTAGAAAGTGACAAAAATGAAAGAAAACAAGCCATAAAGTAACAAAAGTCGAAGGATAATAATATGCAATTACATGTGTACAATAAACATAGACATAGTCATACACATGTTTGTTAAGAGATTTATAAGATTCGAAATAATTATCTGCTTACTCAGATTTAAGCAGATAAAAAATGAATAATACATAATTGTAAGTGGTGAACGAGGGTTAGTACTAAAAGAACTATAGAGATCTATTGGGAAAAAAGTTGTGAAGCTATTCATGTTTATCAAACATCTATTGTACTCCGTGAATCATAATGTCAGAAATTTTTCAAAGTAATATGTATAAATTGATTGCTTCAATGTTAGACAGCCCTCGAATGACCTGGTACAGCCGAGAGTGGGAAAAGTCAGCTCTCATTCTCAAAATGCTCTCACATCGCCACGTGCAACTAATCACTGCCTTCTTGCAGCGAGTGTTGATCACAAAATTGAGAGAACGAAAAGAGAATGTCCAGCGCTTTAACCGGATTGGTGGACATGGAGAGACCACCTAGGGGAGTTGGGGAATATTGATTCCAAACCCATGGTGTACATGGACTCCAGGATCCTGAAGGAACAAATGATGTATGAACCAATTATTGGTCACCGGGTACCATGGGTCTGAATCTCCTTACGTTGCTTCACTCCCTTGTGAACTAGACCTTTAGTTAGAAGGCTCTAGGTGTGGCCCCTAAGAAAACCACCTGCTTCGGTTCGGGCACCTGGGCAGTATCACAGCCCTCACATTAAATCGAATGATTAGTGTAAAATATAACTATTTAGTGCCTTCTTGTACCAATGTTTATGTGTTTAAATAAATAAATAAATACAGCAATCACATGTTACATTTTCTTAAACACACATTAAAAAGTATGCAAAATCAATCAATTAATTGATTAGTAGTACTAAAAGGGAAAACGAATATCACGTAACACATGAGTTATAAGCGTAATCATTACACAGCACATAAAAGAAACCGTTACCACATAGTTAATTGACATAGCATTCAACAAAATGACAATCGATTTAACAAACAAACAAAAAAAGTTTGAAAGAGACCGAAATCGACGTAGTGAGCTACTCCTGTTTTTTTTAAGCTAACCGAGTTAGAATGAAAGTATTCATTTCTCATGATAGGATAAATATAGAATACATTTAAATTAAAAACTAGAGTCGACCTTTGGCAGTTCAACTGCATTAGCGTTATTTAATATGACTAAATAACATCAACAGATTATTATTTAATAACGGGTCAGTCCCGGGAATGGAACACATTCAACGTAAAAAAAAACTGCGTGTTCACCGACAGATTATTCCGAATGATTTAATTAATCGATGCCAGCTTGATGTGATACATCAGTCAGTCAGTCAGTCAGTAACAACGTAGAACTTCGTACGTACGTACATCAGTTTGAGTTGCCACACCACCTTAACACAGAGATGCAGCTGTCGATTCAAATTCCGTAGTGGTAAAGGTAGTAAGAGTATAAGCAATAATCGGGGAGATTAGGGTTTGGAGATGTTATTTAAAGAGTATAATCCAGTGAAAGAAATTTGGAAAGAGGAAAAAAGGAACATGAAGAATTCAGAAGATTAGAATTACGGAGAACACAAAGAGTGGATGCACCTGCGCCATTGCAAACGATTTTGAGCCATGTCATTCAGGGTCTCTAACCATCGGTTGCTATCGTCTCGCGGTCCCCAACCAGGTAGTCTACACATACCGACATGACTCAGTCCACTTGTCAGTGACTTCATGGACTTGTGCCACGTTTTCTTCTGGCCGCCCCTAGCCTTCTTTCAACCTAATCCTATACCACTGGACATCACACGTCGAGGCAGTCGGTCGTTGGGCATACGTAACACGTATCCCAGCCATCTCAACTGATGAAGTTTCACTACGTCAGCAATTGATTTGTCCTCCTTACCTAGTACCCGTTTCCTAACAACTAGATTACTTACTCGATGGTCCCAGGATATATAAGCAATATTTCGAAGACACTGATGATCAAATACTAGTAATCCACGAATATCCTCTACTTTTACTGGTGCACCCAAATGCCCTGGTACGGCCGAGAGTGGGGAGAGTCCGCTCTCCCTCTCGAAATGCTCTCACACGGCCACGTGTATATAGCCTCTGCCAGGAATGTCTTACTCACTGCCTTCTCGTGACGGGGGTGTTGTATACGAAATTGAGAGGACAAAAGGCGAATGTCCGGCGCTTTAACCGCATTCCAAACCAATGGGGCACATGGGCTCCAGTATCCTGCGCGAACAAATGTCGTATGAAAGAATCGTTGGTCACCTGCTACCATGGGACTGCATCTCATTACGATGCTCCACTACATTTTGGATCAGACCTTCATGTCGAAGGATCGGGGTGTCCCCCCCAGGAAAACCACCTGCTTCGGTTTGGGCACGCGGGCAGTATTACAGAACTCACACATATCGAATGAGATTTGTGTGGCGCATATGTATTTGGTGCCTCCTTGTACCAATATCTTTGTGTTAAAATAAATAAATAAATAATAAACTCCTACCGGCCATGTTTCACTGCCATAAAGTACGACGGAACGAAATGCTGCGCAGTAAACACGTCCTTTGGTTGATAGACGGATATCTCGCCTACACCATAAATGACGCAAGCTGGCAAAAGCTAGTCGAGCCTTCTGTATCCGTGCTGAGATTTCGTCACACACTAAACCACAAGGGCTGATGAGACTTCCAAGATAAGTGAAGCGATCGACACGCTCAATTACTTCACTCCCTACCATCAGTTCGGGTGTCAATACAACCCAATCCTGAAGCAACATTTTGCATTTCGAGGAAGAGAATCGCATCCCGAACATGCTTGCATTGTTGCTTAGAGTGGTCAGAAGACTCTGCATTTTGTCAGCGTCTTCACCAAATAAGACTATGTCATCTGCATATTCTAAGTCAACAAGTGAACCTCCCGGTAGAAGTTCAACCCCCGGAAACTTAGATGAGGAGAGTGTTATCTTTAAAAGTACGTCGACGACAAAGTTGAACAAGAATGGGGAGAGTGGACAGCCCTGACGAACACCACTTGAGGTAATCAATTCTGATGACAGTTCGCCATAAGCTCTCACATGACCAGTTGTGTTCGAGTAGAGAGCCTGTATAAGGTTAATGTACTTCTTTGGTACTCCTTTCAGTGACAAACACTGCCATAGAACCTTACGATCAACAGAGTCGAATGCCGCCTTAAGGTCGAGAAATACTACCATTGTGGGGCGTCTGAACGTGTGTCTGTGTTCTAGAACCTGACGTAGTGTGAATATCTGATCTATACAACCACGTCCAGGTCGAAAACCAGCCTGGTTTTCTCTAGTCTGCTCTTCACGAGCTTTGATCAGGCGTCGAAGTATTATTGAAGCTAATATTTTAGACACTATATTAGTCAAACTGATTCCTCTGTGATTGTCACAAGAGGACTTTTGTCCTTTATTAAAAACTGGCACAATCAGTGATTGAGACCAGTCAGATGGGATTGCGTCTAGTTCCCAAATTCTACCTAAGATCTCAGTTAATCTCACTGCTAATACTGGATCACCATCCTTAAAAATCTCAGGAGTAAACCTGTCAGGGCCTGCTGCTCTCCCTCGCTTCAGATTTCCTATGGCTTTTTCAACTTCGTAAAGAGACGGAGGACCTACATTAACTTGCCATTCAGGTTAACTGGAGATCGTGGGAAACTGAAGTGCGGCTGAAGGCTAGTTGAACTGGTCCCTAAAGAGTTCTGCCCATCGATCCAATCTCCTGGATTGAGAATGTATAATATGTCCATCTTTCTCTGAGAGTGTTTCGCTAATAGTCGGTTTCCTAATACCGGATTCCTTAACAAGTCTGAACTGTTGTCTGCTGTTGCCTATTGCCGCTGCCTTTTCCATCTGTCTTGCTTTCGCTACCCACCACTGTTCACGATCATTGCGTAGACTTCTTGTCAGCTTGCGCTTAAGCTGACTCCGCTTTTCGTTATGTTCAGAGCCAGATGGAATGAGTTTCCGAGCATCTATCAGTGCGATAGATGCTGCTGAGATCCAGTGTTGCTCCCTAGCCGTACGGGTTACCGTACTAGCAGATATCACTGCTGTTTCCACAGCTTTTCGAATATCATTCCACACTGCCTCGGAGTGGGCATCACATACATGGCTGCCTAACTGTTTTTCTAGTTGTTCCTGAAATATACTCTTAGCTTGACTATCATTAAGTAGGACCCTAAGAGGTTTCCTTGCAGCGTCTTTCCTACGTCCAGTAAGACGCAGACAGATACGCGCTCGTACTAGAGCATGATTTGAATCTAGGCATGTGCTCCAGAATGAGCGACAGTCTTCTATCGAGCCCCTCCATCGGTGGCTGATAGCGATGTGATCTATTTGGGTCCAACGTTGGGACGAATTAGGGGGTTGCCATATCAAAATATGTTTTTTCTCATGCTTAAAGTTAGTGTTTGCAAGAAACAGACGGTTATCTGAGCAAAACTGCAACAGACGGTCACCATTATCTGTAATTTGAGCCACAATACTATAAGATCCATCCATATGTCCTTCCCTTTCGCTTAGTTTACCTACATGAGCATTAAAATCACCAGCCATTATTACTACATCAGAGTGCCTAGCTTTTCGGAGGAGGTCGGAAAGCTTTCTATAAAACTCATCTTTTACATCATCTGAGCTGCAGTCAGTGGGAGAGTAGGCAGAGACGACGAAGAGGCAACGACGAGAGTCCCTATATTTGCGAGGCATTACTGTTCCGTTTAGTCGGACAGCGCACAGACGACTGTCTACTGGGATCCAGTC